ACCTGGAGGCCCCTCTCCCTGGAGCTGCATTGCTCCTGCAGGAGGCACAGCAGGTCCTAGTTGGTCTTGGCAGCTCTGAAGAGAGGAGACCCGGCCAAAGGACAGAGAGCGGGTAGAAGTCCTCATCTAGCTGAGTCTTAATACCCTATGGTCGTAGTTCAGGGCATGGTTATAACTCCTTCCTGTTTCTGTACTGTCTGGGAGCCTGTTTTAATGTTACTAAACATTCATGCTGTGCTTAGCCACCCAGTTGTGTCCGACTCTTTGCGACCCCGTGGACTGTAGCCCACCAGGCTCCTCTGTCCATGGGATTCTCCAGGCAAGAATACTGGAGTGGTTTGCCATGCCCTCCTCCAGGGGATCTTCCCAACCCAGGGATTGAACCTAGGTCTCCCGCATGGCAGGCAGATTTTTTTTACCAGCTAAGTCACCAGGAAATCCTAAGAATAACTGGAGTGGGTAGCCTGTCCCTTCTCCAGGGGAACTTCCTGACCCAGGAATTGAACCAGGGTCTCCTGCATTGCAGGCAGATTCTTTACCAGCTGAGCTACAGGGGAAGCCCACTAAACATTCACACATGACATCATTTTTGAAAACTGCTAGATGACTTTTATAATGTGAATGAGGCATAACTTACTCTCCCATGTTATGTATACATCAGTTGTATTATGTGCTTTTGCTGTTCTATCTAATGTTCCTGGGAATATCCTTGTACATAATCTGTATCATTGTCTCTGATTTGATTCCTTAGGATAAAGAATTACTGAGGGAGGAACTTAACTCCCTTTTAAAGAGGAAATTTTATTATAAAGGTAATTTGTATAAAACTTGGAAAATGTAATAAATGTGTAAAGAAGAAATAAAAGTCACCTGACCATCCAGATACCCTTGCTAACATTTAGGTGTCTTTCACTGTGTCTTTTTTTCCTGTACATATAGCTATATGTGTACCTAGCCATCTACCTGTTAATGTATTGACGATATAATACTACATTTTGTGAATGTGCTATAATTCATTTAACTTTATTTTTGGATGATTAAATAGTTCTCTTTTTTTAAAAAAAATTATGCATTTAATGACCAACTGCCTTATGCCAGGTTATGTGCTGGGCACTGTAGATAGTGCATAAGACAGTTTCCTGCCTTCTGTGAGCTTAATTGAAATAACTCCCAAATTATAGCTGTCTGTTTCAAAGTACTGGGCACTGTGAAAATGTCTAATGGGAAGACATAGGATGGCTTCTCTGAGGAAATGATGTTTCTGAGAACTGAAGGAGGAACAGCTTTTAGCCAGGAGAAGAATGTGCCCTCAAAAGCTTGTAGGGGTCAGTGGACACCCCCACCCTGTTTCACAAGGACTGGGCCATAGAGAGCTGCTGAGAAGAGTGGATCCCAGCTGCACACCCCCATTGTCACAGCCCGGGAAACAGTGTGAACATGATGAGTAGGGGTAGATGGGTGGGCCAGTCATAGCCAGAACCACAAAGCAGGCGGCCAGTGTGTGTGTTCACGTTTCTTCTCATATACTTCTTACCAGTCTGTGAGGCAGTCATTATTGTTTCCTTTTGCAAATGAGGAAATCGGGGCTTGTGTAAGTTACCCAAGGACTGATAAATTAGAGGTAGAGTTCATCCGGGAGAAAAGCCTGCGCTCTCTTCACCGTTGGGCCAGCTCTCGCACCTCGCCTTCGGGCCCTGCCTCCCCACTCCCGCTGTGGTCACGCCCTTGCTGGGCAGCCTCCCCGCAACCCTTGTCTCTGCCCCGAAGACATGCTGCTTTCCAGAGGGTACTTCCTCTTACTTGGGAATGCCTCCTGTTACGGGAAAACGGCTCCGAGTGTCATCTGCTGTGCTTATACGTGAGCTTTGTTGGAGTGGCAGGGCCCACAGAAGACTTTGTGCGGGATGTAGAAGGCTGGTTACCTGAGCCAGACTGCAGCAGGCCACTGACAGGACTGCCCTCAGCCTGGGCATTTTCAGAAACCCCTTCAGCCACTTAAAAAAAAAAGCTTCCCATTCCAACATTTTATTAAAAATTTCAAAGTGCCAAGTTAGGTTTTAACACCCGCAGCTAACATCATGCTCGACAAAGAAAAACTGAAAGCTTCTTAAGATCAGGAATAAAAGGGGAATTCCTTGGTGGCCCAGTGGTTAGGACTCTGCTCCCACTGTTGAGGGCCTGAGTAGAATCCCTGGTCCAGGAACTAAGATACCACAAACCACATGTGTGGTACTGCCAAACAAATCAGGAACAAGACAAGGGTGCCCACTCTTGGCAGTTTTATTCAACATAGTATTAGAAGTTCTAGCCAGATCCATTAGGCAAGAAAAGGCATGTGAATGGGAGAGGAAGAAATAAAGCTGTCCCTGTTTGCAGATCATGTGAGATACATAGAAAACTCTAAAACACTCCATCAAAAAACTGTTAGAACTAATGAACAATTTCAGCAATGTTGTAGGATACAAAGTCACTAAGTAAGTAAATGTTAGTCGCTTAGTTGTATCTGTCTCTTTGCAACCCCATGGGCCAGGATCCTCTGTCCATGGGATTCTCCAGGCAAGAATACTGGAGGGGTAGCCATTCCCTTCTCCAGGGGATCTTTCCGACCCAGGGATTGAACCTGGGTTTTCCACATTGCAGACAAGTTCTTTACCATATAAGCCACCAGGGAAATCAGTATACAAAAGTATTTTGCATTTCTATATACCAATAAAATGTGCTATCAGAGAAATTAAGAAAACAATTCTGTTTATAATTACATCAAAAAGAATAAAATACCTAGGAATTATGTTAACCAGAGAGGTAAAAGATGTAACTGAAAACTATCAGATATTAAGAAAAGAAATTGCAGATACAAATAAATGGAAATAGTCCATTCTCATGGACTGTTAGAATAGAGAGCATTAATATTGTTATACACTCCATTCTACAGATTTGTGTGCAGTTCCTGTAAAAATTCCAATGACATTTTTCACAGAAATTGAACAGATAATCCTAAAATTTGTATGGAACAGATAATCCTAAAATCCTAAAAAGACCCCAAGTCATCAAAGCAATCTTGAGAAAACAAAGCTGGAGATATCACACTTCCCAGTTTCAAACTGTCTTACAAAGCTACAGTAATCCAAACAGTATGCTGCCAGCATGGACACACACATGTAGATCAAGGGACCTGAATAGAGCCCAGAAACAAACCCACACATACAATCAATTAACTTACAAAGGAGCCAAGAACACAGATGGTCCCAACTTAGGATGACTTGCTTGGTCATTGTGTAGGTACATGTTTTATAAGAAACTGCCGGAGCTTTTCTCCAAGTGCTGGTACCATTTTGTGTTCCCACCACCAGTGTGTGAAATCCTGTTCCCTGGCATGTGGTGGTAACTTTTTTCACTCTGGACACTCTGGTAGGGGTGCAGTGCTGTCACACGTTGGACCCCAGGGATTTTTATTCTCTGTTTCAGTCTGGGGAAAATAAACGAACCAAAGAAGAAGGGGAGAAGGATGAAGCAAATAGTTGTGTTTGAGAGTCTATATACTGTACATTTCATGGCCAGTTCCTCACCCTTTCCACATCTTCCTGTCCTTTTTAGATCATGCATTGTTCTTTTCGTAGCCTTCAAATTTATTTTTGTTGTTGTTCATAATTACTTTTAAGCCTGTTTATTTCTAAAGCTATTCACTAGTTTAATTACCTGAACTTCTTTGGTGCCTAATACAGCTTTTTGTAATACCTGTGGGACTTCACTCATTGTGAACTTTTTTCGTTTGCTTTTTTTGTTGTTTTATAATTTTGTAAAGGGAGCTCATGTTAAGTTAGGCTTTATTTGTGGGACTCTTGTCTGGCTTGGAGGTGTTTTGTTTTCTTTATTCTTATAACCCAGAGATGTCATCAGCCTGTGACCACTTTCTATATAAAAGTTCTTAATTTGGGGGATCTTGACCATGAGAGCTAAGAGGAGTATAAATTTAAAGCCCAAATCTATTAGAAGACAGTCCCAAGGTTATGAACTGACACAGAATTTTTTTTTCATTCCCCAATCCCAGTCTAAGACAAACGTTCTCCTGCTGGTGAGTTGCTTTTTCTCTCGTCCACCCTTTCGCTGTGGGGTAGGGGACGCACTGCGAAGTGCAGTGTTGGGGGGAGTCTTTGTTCCAGCCCTCTTCTTGCATGTCCTGACCTCAGCTCCTGCCTCCGGCTGAGTTTCAAACCCTGACCTTTGGATGTCGAGGTTGGCAGTGCCCCGCCAGGCCAGTGTCTTGGTCAGTTCAGCTGCTGTAACAAATTCCCATAGATGGGGTGGCTTAAATAGCAGACAGTGGTTTCTCACTGTTCTGGAGGCTGGGAATCCAGCAGGTCCAGTGTCTGGTGCCAGCCCGCTTTCTGGTTTGCAGTTGCTGGCCGTCCTCTTGTGCTTTCACGGGGTGGAGAGACAGAGGCAGGAAGCAAGCTCTGTCGGGTCGGTTATAAGGACTCTGATCTCATTCATGAGGCCGCCTTGACAGCCCCAATCACCGCCCGGCCCCACATCCTCCATACCATCACACTGGAATTTGGGCTTGAGCCTACGAATCTGGGGAGACACACACACTGGGTCCACAGCAGCCACCACATGGCCCTGCCCACGGCCTGCTCGCCTTCAGTCCCTAGAGCCCTTTTCCTTTCTGCTGAGCCTATCGTGCATGTGATTGGATGTTTGCATTACTATACCCAATATATACAGGCCCTTTATAAGAGGAGTTTTTAGATTTTCTTAATCTTCCATGTTGGTAGAAATGAAAGTCTAAGGAAGAAAGATTGTGCTCCTATGTGATTCCTGGAGATACGAAAAACATTCATCTTAGAGACTATAAATCTGTCTTCAAAAAATAAAGGCACACCAAGCGCGTGGCGGAGCATTATATACACCGTTTGAGTGACGACTTGTCTGTACTGACTCTTTTCTTCACAGGATTGTGTGTTTCCAGGGCATTCTGACCCTTCAGAAGGAAAGCAGCCATGTCCTTGGACGACATTAAGATGAGTTCTACGGACTTCCTGGAGCAGGCAGACCTGGACAGTGGGGGCTTCGGGAAGGTGTGTCTGTGTTTACACAGATCCCACGGACTCGTGATCCTGAAGAAGGTGTACACGGGCCCCAAGCGCACCGAGTGAGTCAGGGGCAGAGTTGGGCAGACCATGCCATGTGCCAGGGCGGTGGAAGCGGGTGGCACAGCCTTTATGAGACAGACCTGGGTGCAAGGGTCAGCCCTGAGGCTTCATGGCGGATGACCCTGCAGGGCGGTCACTGATATCCCTGACTCATGAGGATTCAGACGCTGGCTAGGGGAGAGCTCCGAGCTGGTAAATAACAAGAAAACTGAAGAGGAGGGAACAGAGGGGAGGGGGCCCAGGGCGACGCAGGGGGCGCTGGGAAGAGGCTGGGAGGAGCAGGCAGGAGGGCGCGAAGGCCCTGCTCCACGGTGGGTGAGGACCAGCCCCGAGGATGGGGATGAAGCCCTGGTTCATGAGTCACAGCGTCCAGGAACCCTCTCGCTGAGGCAGTCGGTGAAGTTGGTTTATTTCCCTCTGTTTTCGCCAGAGTGGCCGTGAGAGAGGCCGCGGGTTTAGTCCACTGTCCAGCGCGGTCCTCGTTTCCTGGCCGCCTTTCCTCGCTGCTCTTCAGCAGCTTCGCACTGATTGGTCCTTGGGTTCACGCTTCCTGCGCACTGGCCGCGGTCCCCTGGAGGAGGCGCATGGACAGGGCGGAGGGGCAGCCCCGGGGGCGCTCGGTCTGACCCCCGCCCCCGTCCCCAGGTACAACGAGGCCCTCCTGGAGGAGGGCAGGATGATGCACCGGCTGCGGCACCGCCGCGTGGTCAAGCTGCTGGGCGTTATCATGGAGGAGGGCAGCTACTCGCTGGTGATGGAGTACATGGAGCAGGGCGACCTCATGCGTGTGCTCAAGGCCCAGGTACGCCTCGCCCGGCCCGCCAGCCCCTGTGCCTCGGAGTCCTGTGTGAATGGCTGGTGGTTTGCGTTTTCTCAGGAATAACAGCACTGGATGAGGAAGGTTTCCAACAGCAGGATTCATCCTGTTTACCAAAGCCAAATAACTTTACCGCGTTTTTAAGAAGTGTAGGTACCTGGACTTTCCCGGTGGTCCAGTGGTTGAGACTCCCCGCTTCCACTTCCCGGGGGCACGGATTTGATCCCCGGCTGGGGAACTAAGATCCCTGCCTGCCCTGTGGGGTGGTCAAAAAAACGAGTGTATGTATCTGTTAAGAGCAAGGCCTGTGCTGTTTGCTCAGGAAGCAATAGCAAGTGTGACACAGACGGATAACGCGGCGCAGGTGGGGATGTGAATGTCTGGTGTGGTGGTGTGTTGACAGACACGCCCACAGCGAGCTGTGGGAACACCGGGGAGGCGCTCTCAGCCTGCAAGGTGGTCGGGACGCATCTTCGGGGCCTGACGGAAGGGAAGCTGCTGTCTACGTCCTCAGGCCCAGATCCACTGCTCTTGAAGGAAACTGGTGCTTTGGCCGCTTTGAGCCCCTTTCCGTCTCCCGCACTGACTGTCCCTCGTTTCAGATCAGCATCCCCCTGTCCGTGAAAGGGAGAATCATCATGGAGACCATCGAAGGGATGCGCTACTTACACGGAGAAGGGGTGATTCACAAGGACCTCAAGCCGGAAAATATCCTCGTTGACAGTGACTTCCACATCAAGGTGAACCTCAGGCAGGGCTTCTGGGGGATCGGCGCGACTCTGACTCTCAGTGTAAGCCCTTCTTCTGGGCACGATGTGTGCCGAGAGCAGAGCCAGCCCAGCTCCTCCCTGATGACGGTGATGCCAGAGAGCTCTGCCGGGGAATGGGGAGAGAGGCTTGGCGGAGGCGGTTATCTTCATTTATTCCTTTACTCACGTGTCCTTTTAAAAATCCGTTTCCTTTTGAAAACTCTGTCCACTGTAGTCAAAGGGAAAAGAGGGAGGGTTTTCTCTTGTCCTCTAGGCGCAGCATCACGTCAGGTCGGCTTTGGCAGCAGGAATCCCAGCCGAGCACGAGGGTCTGAAAGGGGAAGTGGAACTGGGGGGAGGACGCAGGAACTGCTTACCCAGGCATCCCTTTACCAGAAGATTCTGCTTCTAGCATTCTGTTCCAGCCCTGGACAGGGTTTGTTTTTTTGGGTTTTTTTTCCCCCGTGTCTTTAAAAGAAGGTTGTTTACGTTAATAACTTACCTCTTATGATGTGGGTTAGAATTTGAGGATTTTAGACAATCACATGCCAGAAATCATCCCCAAATGCCTGGATTCCCTGAAGCAAAAGTGAAACTGCCGCTTCTGGTGTCTTAGCTGTATTGTTCTGTTGCTCTGCCCTGCCGCCTCCCTCTGTGTTCTCTGTCTGACCTGGTATTTTTTTCTTTGCCTTTTTGTCTGTCTTTCCCGTCCTCCACATCCCATCTCCTCTCAGGTTCAGGCTCCCACCTCAGCAGCAGTAGCGCTACAGTCTTTATCCTCAGTGTGTCTTTGGGATCCTTGGAAATGCACATCCGTGGGCTTCTGGACACCTTTTGGGGAAACGGAAGGTGCAGTACCATGTGCTATACAAACCTGCTGACAAGAAGTACCTGTTTGCCCTAGCCTCAGTCAAAAACATGCAGAATAAATGAGGAGTTAGAATAAACATGTCTAGTTGTTGTTCTCAGGAATATCTTCTGCTTTTCTCCCCATCAACCACCACCCCCTCCACCCTGATATTGCATAAGAATCGAGACACCAGAATTTCACACAGACTTTTCTTATGCGAGATTTTCCAGATGGCTGAGGACATATGGTTTCTACTAGTCTGTTCAGAGGTAGCTGTTTTAAACCTGTCCAGTGCAGCCGTTTCTGCCAATGTTAGAGTCCCTTCATCTCCTGGATAAGCCCCTGATGTAAAGACAGATCTGATTTGCCTGCTGCCGTCACAGAAGCATCCCGTTGCTTCACTCTCCTGCAGATAGCTGACCTCGGCGTCGCTTCCTTCAAGACGTGGAGCAAGCTGACGAAGGAGGAGCGCAACGAGCAGAGGCAGGCGGGCGGCGGCGCCGGGAAGGGCGGCACGCTGCACTACATGGCCCCCGAGCACCTGAACGACGTCAACTCCAGGCCCTCCGAGAAGTCCGACGTCTTCAGCTTCGCCATCGTGCTCTGGGCCATCTTCGCCAACAAGGAGCCATACGAGAGTAAGGCGTCAATAGGAGAGGGGGGCTGGGGGCCGACGGGGGTTGATCAGTGGGGTAACAGCCTGCAGTGAGGCCATGGAGGTTCATCACTGTTTGTTCAGTATCTGTCTCACCCACCAGACCGTGAGCTCCATGGAAGCGGGGACCACATCTCATCCATTCACTGCTCTTCCCCCGGTATCTACACACAGAACGTAGTGGGTACTCGGCAAGCGTTTGTGGAATGGATACATAATCTCGATTTAGCAAGCAGGGGCCATAGGACAGATTGGAGCTTGGATAGTGCATCTCAGCTTGTGGGGTGCTCAACAATCTAGGCTTCCTCCCGGACAGGAAGGCTTGCTTGGTTCTCATTATGAGGACTTTCAGGGCATACACTCCGTACTTTCATCCATCCACTCACTCCTTCATTCAGGAATTGTTTCTTTTCAGTACTTACTGTGGGCTCTCTACTCAGACTGAGTCTGTAAAGATGAGAGGGACAGCGTCTGTGCAGGGGAACAGGTGCATAAGTAGCTGTTCTTCAGTGTGTTAAAGTGAAGCCACTCAGTCGTGTCCAACTCTTTGCGACCCCATGGACTGTAGCCTGCCAGGCTCCTCCGTCCATGGGGTTTTCCAGGCAAGAGTACTGGAGTGGGTTGCCATTTCCTTCTCTAGGTCAGTGTGTTAAGAACCTGAACTAATGGCCCTCCTCCTGCCTGCTCTTCCTGGGTGATTGTCAGCTCCCAGGGTTCAGTCCCCTCTTTGCTGATGCCACTCAAACCTCCAGTGGTGGCCTGGACATCCTCCTGTCTGTTAGATCGCGTCCACGTACCAGAGGACCCCAAAGCAGTATCCCCCAAAACAAACCCACGTTCTCCACGCTGCCCGAGTGGCTCACTCAGCTCTGCTCTTAGGTCCAGAAAATGGTGTCACCGTCCACCAACCAAGTTGCCCAACCAAGAACCTTAGTCGCCAGACTCAGCCTTGCCCTCCCATATCCCATCAGACACTGAAACTTGTGAATTTGGGAGTCCCTGACCGTCCAGTGGTTGGAACTTGCACTTCCATTGCCGAGGGCTGGGATTCAGTCCCTGGTCAGGGAACTAAGATCCTGCAAGCTGCACAGCATGGCCGGAAACAAACAAAAAACTGTGACCTCCACGTATATCAGATTCAAGATACATCCATGTCTCTCTGTCTCCAGAGGATCCTGTCCAGTTCAAACCCTCTGTGGCAGGCTCCTCGTGCCGCCGCCGTTCACACTGCCGTCAAACAGGCTGATCAAACCTCTCAATCTTCTGTTTAAAATCCTTCCAAGACACTCTTGACATTCAGGATCAAGTTAAACCCCTCAGTATGGAGCATAGGGTCCTCTCTGATTTGGCTAAACTGTTCCCTCACTCGCTTTGGCCAACATGCCCAGTTACGCTGAGCTAGTCATAACTTCCAGACACATCTTGATTTCTGAAACTCCCAATCTATTCAGATCCTGCTTTCTTGGCCTAAAATCTTCCTCTGTGAATCCTTCTTCCCAGTTCTTTACCTGGATGACTCCTGTTTATTCTTTTGGACTCAACAAAGCCTTCTCTGACCTTCCAGTAGTGGTCCTGTCACCAGAACCCTTTGTGCTTACTTCTTGAATAGCCAGTATCACTCTGTATTTTAAGTCACCCTTATTCAACTGAGCTGTCCCCTGTTTGTCTCTGTATTAAAATCTGGAGTATGGCACTGGCTTTATTTACACATTCAGTCATCTGCCAGGAGTCAGCTCTGCCATGAATCTGTCTTTCACCTGTTTGATCATCTCTGCAGAGAAATAGGTCCGCTCATCGTCCCAGGGCATTCTGCCCCTCCCTGATGTAACCATGAGAGATCAGTGGCTTGGTCCAGGTTCTGTCACTTCCCTGCCCGAGAGGAGCAGGACCTGAAAGTCTCAGCTCTCCTTCCCATTTGCTCTGTAGATGCCATCTGTGAGCAGCAGCTGATACTGTGCATCAAGTCTGGGAACAGGCCGGACGTGGAGGACATCATAGAGTTCTGCCCGCGGGAGGTCATCGACATCATGAGGCAGTGCTGGGAGGTGAACCCGGACAACCGACCCACGTTTGCGGGTGAGTCCCCTCCGCGCCGGCACCGCCCCCCTCCCACGTGGCCGGCTTCCTAGTGAGGCTGACAGGCAGTACTTGGAGTTTTTAGGAAAGCAAGTTCCACTCCTAATTTCAAACTGATTTTCTAGATTCCAAAGGCTTTGTTTGAAGAAAAGCTGCCATCCCTCTCCCAAACATGAAGGCATATAAGGTCCTTTTGTTTCCTGGTGGTATTTTTCCCCATAGTTAAATTTTTTAAATTGTATTAAAATATACGTGACACATAATTTACCACTATAATCATTTTTAGGTGTTCAGTTCAGTTCAGTTCAGTTGTGTCCGACTCTTTGCAACCCCACAGACTGCAACACACCAGGCCTCCCTGTCCATCACCAACTTCTGAAGCTTGCTCAAAGTCATGTCCATCAAGTCAGTGATGCCATCCAACCATCTCATCCTCTGTCGTCCCCTTCTCCTCCTACCTTCAATCTGTCCCAGCATCAGGGTCTTTTCCAGTGAGTCAGCTCTTCCCATCAGGTGGCCAAAGTACTGGAGCTTTAGCTTCAGCACCAGTCCTTCCAGTGAATATTCAGGGTTGATTTCCTTTAGGACTGAGTGGTTTGATCTCCTTGCTGTTCAAGGGACTCTGAAGAGTCTTCTCCAACACCACAGTTCAGCAGCATTTAGCACATTCAGTGTCTTCACCTTCCCCACCTGAAACCGTACCTGTTCAACACTGACTCCCCACCCCCCTGCCCAGCCCCTGACAGCCGCCATCCTCCTGTCTGTCTCTGTGAACTTGGCTACACGGGGTCCCCCGTGGAGGTAGAATCCTAGTGTTTGTCCTGGTTCACTGGGCAGTGTCTTCAGGGCTCCTGCCAAGTCATAGCCCGTCAGGATCTCCTCCTGTTTCCTGCTGAGCGGTGTTCTATGGTGTGAGGACCGCACCGTGTCTGTCCAGTCACCTGCTGCCGGATGCTGGGGTGCTTCCCGGCCATCTGACTTCTTAGCTTCTTTGATCTTGGTTCCTCCCTGTGTGTGGCTGGCATCTCTGGGAGCATTATTTGCCATCTGCATTGGGCTGAGAGCAAGAGGAGAAGAAAAGGGACTGGGGTTTGTCACATCCGTGTACCTCTTCTCATCCCCCTGGGTCCCCTAGGACCTTGCTAAGGTCCTGGAGGCAGAGGAAAAGAGAAAATCGGGTTAGGAAGAAATAAAGAGCAGGAAGGAACTTAGGAGCCTGCAGGGGGTTCTGCGCTTGTATTCCTGCTCTGAGGAAACAGAATGGAAACCCCACCAGCCACTCCCACCAGAGGGCTGCAGGGGTGACTGACTCGCTGCCTGCTTTCTCACTCACTCAGCCTGCATCTTGTCCCGGCCTGGTTTCTTCTCGTGCCTTTTTCACTTTTTTAAACTAAAATTCTTCTTCTGAGATAATTGTAGATCTACATGCAGTTGTAAGAAATAATACAGACATCCCGTGTACCCTTTTACCTAGCTCCCTCCAAAGATCACAATCTGGCCAGACGCAGTACAGACCACAGCTGGAATACTGACCCTGACACAGTCAGATACAACACACCACCATCTCCACAAGGGTCCCTCCTGCTGCTATTCACAGGAGTAAAGCTGCTGTGGATACTCACGTTACAGGTTTTTGTGTGAATGTAAATATTTCTCTAGAATAAGTACCTAGGAGTTAAATAAGTAAGTCATAGATAGTTTCACAGAGAAGGCAATGGCACCCCACTCCAGTCCTCTTGCCTGGAAAATCCCATGGACGGAGGAGCCTGGTGGGCTGCAGTGCATGGGGTCGCTAAGAGTCGGACACGACTGAGCGACTTCACTTTCACGTTTCACTTTCATGTGTTGGAGAAGGAAATGGCAACCCACTCCAGTGTTCTTGCCTGGGGAATCCCAGGGACGGGGGAGCCTGGTGGGCTGCCGTCTATGGGGTCGCACAGAGGTGGACACGACTGAAGCGACGCAGCAGCAGCAGCAGGTAGCTTCATGTTTAGTTTAGTTTTTTCTTGAAAGAAACTGCCAATCTGGGAATTCCCTGGCTGTCCAGTGGTTAGGACCCTATGCTGTCAGTGCCGGAGATTCAGGTTCAATCCCTGGCTGGGGACCTAAGTAAGGTCCCAAAAGCCGTGCAGCGTGGCCAAAAGAAAAAACCCTGCCAAACTGTTTTCCAGAGTGGCTGTGCCATTTTATATTCTCACCAGCTACGTACAAGTGATCCAGTTTCTCTGCGTCCTTACCAGCCCTTGGCGGTGTTGCCACGTTTTAATTTAGCCCCTCTGACAGGTATGGAGCGATAGCTAGGTGTGGCTTGGTTTCACCTCTCCGGGGGCTCACACTGGTGAACACCTCAGGTGTGTGTTTGCCATCTGTGTCTCTTCCACCGTGCAGCATCACCCTGTGTCCTTTGCCCACTTTCTAGTTGGAGTTCGTCTTGTCGCTGTTGAATGTAGAGTGTTCTCTGTATATTCCATATCGTGTTCCTTTCTTGGACATGTCATTCTCAGTTACCTTCTCCCAGCCTGGCGCTTGTTGTTGTTGTTTTTTTTCCATTCTCTTCTCAGGATCTTTCACAGACTGAAAGTTTCTATTTTGATGAAGTCTTATTCATTAACCGCTCCTGTTGTGGATGATAATTTTGGTGTCAAGTCTGAGGACACTGTCAGGATTAGACCCAAAATACTTTCTTCCCCTTTTTTCTGAAAATCTTAGAGTTTTATATTTAGGTCTGTGTTCTTTTTTTCATGATTGTCAAGGAAAATTCATTATTGCCAATAAAAGAATGATAGCACAGAACTAAATGTTAGGTTGTCTTTCTTGCCATTTATTTAGTTTATGTCTTATTGGGAAAATACCATGATCCATGTCGAGTTAATTTTTGCACGAGGTGTGAGACTTGGGTTGAATTTTGTTTTTTCTTTTTTGCCTTGTTCCACGGCCATTTGTTGAACCCTCTTCCGGTACCTTGTTTCTCTGAGTCTCTATACCAGATCCCTACCCTGAGTGTTCCATCCTGCATCACCTCTGATGCCAGAGGGACAGAAACAAGGAACCCACCCTTCCTTTTTCATTTGGATGCTAACCCTCTTAGGCAGGGCTTTGTGCCGCAGCAGAGCAGCATAAAACCGCATCCTGTTAGGCAGGAGCCCTCGGCTTCTTTCCAGTGGTGTCCCAGCCTTCGTTCTGTCTGCAGAGAAATTAGTCTTGTTTGTCTATCTATGAAAGTGACTCGGCATTTAAATTTTTATTCTGTTGCTTTGCCCACAGATTAAGGCACGTAATTCAAAGATAATAGACTGTTAATATTTTAATTTTTAGAAAATACTTAAGAAATTTTAAAGTGCTTTTTTTTTTAAATGTATAGGCATTGAAGAAAAATTTAGGCCTTTTTATTCAAGTAAATTAGAAGAACATGTAGAAGAGGATGTGAAGAGTTTAAAGGTAGGTAACATAGTAGGTGCTCAAAATGATAACATGTTAAAGCATATACCATATCAGTCATGAAAACCAAAGCATTACACTTCACTACTGAGACTTGAGGTAAGCAGCTGGGTAACTGGGAAGATCCCCTGGAGGAGGGCATGGCAACCCACTCCAGTACTCTTACCTGGAGAATCCTCATGGACAGAGGCGCCTGGTGGGCTGCAGTCCATGAGGTTCCAGAGTCGGACATGACTGAGTGACCAAGAGCAGCACACAGCACAGCTTAGTAACCACAAAAAAACAAAGTTAGCAGTTTAATGCAGGTATCATCAAGTCAGCATTACTGGACCCATTCCTCTGTCAAAACAAATGAAGTGAGAGGAAAATATATCTAGCAATATGGAAAAAGATAAGCACAGCATTACTGAATAGGATGGAAAATAACCATAGGTGGATCAGTCATTTTGAAGAATTCTTGAAAGATTAAAAAGCCAACAGAATTCTCTTTTGAGATAGATAACAGGAAAAAAGTTTCAAAAGGCTAACCCAAATGTAATACTCAAGAAATGCTGGAAGAGGAAGTCCTGGGTCAACGTAGAGAAGAACAGATGTCGCCTGGCACGCTGGCGGGCGCTGGCAGCTGGGAGCCATGCTTGTGTGTGTTATAGAAGTCGGCTCTTGCCCCAGCTCCGCCGTGCTGAGCAGCAGGTGGCAACAGCCCCTGCCCGGGACCAGAATGGTATGTCAGAGACCGTAGCCAGCTAACCAGCCAAGAGGAGCAGAGACCTTCTCCACTCACATGCTCAGGAAACAAGCTGTCGTCCTAAGTCTTAACATATTGCCCTAATCATGAAAGACAGACCGCGGTAAATAAAACAGGCAGGAAACAAGAGATTTTAAAATACATAGAGAGACACACACAGACAGTCAGGAACTGCCAGACTTTTAAGGGACACCTACACTGTAACAGAGGTATCCGGTGCAAACCAAGGAAGTAACCACATCGAAGTAAAGACATCAAGGAAGACAGCCGCTAAAGCAGGAAAGCATGAGCGAAGCACTCTGGGGTGTCTCACTGTGATAAAAGCCTCATTTCACCAGAAAGATAGTCGCCTAAGTCTGTTGGCCTTTGAACAACACAGATTTGAACTGCATAGGTCCATTTATACTCAGATTTTTCTCAATAAATACATGATCGTCACTTGGTCGAATTTGTGACATCGCACCACAAATACAGAGGGCCGGCTGTAAAGATACGTTTGGATTTTTGACTGTGAGTGAGGTGAGTGCCCCACTCCTGTGCTGTTCAAGGATCAGCTGTATAATTTAGCGAAAGCAGCTCAACTAAAGACAGAAAACCTAAATACTTCTGTAACTATTTTCCTATTAAAATCCAGAAACTACTGAAAAAGAGACAGATTTGCTTATATAAAAATTTAAAACTTACTAAAAGCAAAATAAAAAGACAAATGACAAATTGAGAAAAAAAAAAGAGTTAAGCAGTCTCACAAGAAAATTCCACAACCACATAGCCTCATCAGCAATTTCTATCAAATATTCAGTGAAGAAGTTACCCCAATGTTATACAACTTGTCTGGATAACAGAAGAGGGAACTCTCCTCAGCTCATTTTATGAGATGACCATAACCTTGATTCCCAAACCTGAAAGGCAGATACAAGAAAGGAAAACTACACAATGATTTCACTTAACAACATGGTTTTGAAAATCCTGAATAAAATACAAAGAAGCTGAATCCACCAATGGATGATAAAGATTGGAAAAGATATGTGATTTCACTAACAGAAGAACAGAGTGAATTCATTATAATTTTTCATCCATTAGATCAACAACAGTTTTGAAAGACTGATATATCAAGTGTTGGTGAAAATACAAAGTAACAGACACTTTCAGGCAGTATTAGTGTAAGTTGATGAAGTTTATTAAGTGTGAAGTATCTATCAGACTTTTAAGCATGAACTTTTGCTGCAGCTCTACATGGTAATCTATCCTGTTCATGTGTATGCTCAAAGATTTAGCCTCAGATGTTGTTATCTTTGTGAGACTTAAAATTTGGAAATATATAAATTTGGAAATCACCCAGATGTTTCTAAGAAGATATACTAAGTTATGGTTAGTAACTATATAATCATTTAGGAGTGGTGGAAACTAACAAATGATACAGAAAGATCTCAAGACTTATTGTTAAGTGAAAAATCGCAAAACCACAGAGTGTGACTCTTTGTGCATGAGAGCTCTCAGCTGCTCAGTCGTGATAAATAATAAAAAGAAATTTTTTAAAAAATCAATTGGCTTTATATGCAAGGGTTTATTTTGGTTTCATTATATTCATTGGTCTGTATGTCTTTCCTTAGTCCAGTACCACACTGTTTTGATTACTGTAGCCATGTAGTGAGTTTTGAAATCAGGAATCTTTTTAAGATTGTTGTGGCTATTTAGGAAAAAAAGTTTATTTATTTTTTTAATATTTACTGCTTGTAAGAACTATGTGAAATTTCTAGCTTCTGAAAAATTCATTCTTATAACAATTTTTTGGGGAACTATTTTCTGCTGTTTACCTAAAGTATGTTGTTATGCTCTTAATTTTAGAAAGAGTTTCCAAGCCAAAATGAAATTGTAAAGAGAATGAAGTCTCTCCAAATTGACTGTGTGGCAATAGCTCCAAGCAGGTCAAATTCAGGTAACTTATATTGTGATTGAAAATCTATTTATTTACTTGTTTGCTCATTCACTCACACAACTGCATAAAATGCTAGTTACAATTGTATGAGAAACAGAAGCTGTAAAATTTAATGCCTGTCTTAAAGGAATTTATAATATACTTGGAATTAAGATACATATCTTATGTACATAAGATACATATGGGTTTCCCTTGCGGCTCAGCTGGTAAAGAATCCGCCTGCAATGTGGGAGACCTGGGTTTGATCCCTGGGTTGGAAAGATCCCCTGGAGAAGGGAAAGGCTACCCACTCCAGTATTCTGGCATGGAGAATTCCATGGACCGTGTAGTCTATGGGGTCGCAAAGAGTCGGACACAACTGAGCAACTTTCACTTTCAAGATACATATATTTGAAATACTAGGTAACAACAGGTTCATCAAAATCATAAAGTATCCGAACACAAGAGGCCTAATATACCTGATAGGGAGGGAGTGACAGTTCATGCAAAAGAAAGGAACACAGGTAGGAGCAAAGCCCTCGAGAAGGTCAGGGGCGAGCAGATGCCGCGGGCGTGCAGGGAGGCTGGCCCCAGAGCCAAGCAGGGGCACTTTCCTCATTATAACAAAAGGGAGAGCAGAGTCTCAGAAATGAAAGCCGCTCATCAGCCGTCTGTTCCGGGGCAAATTACCCAACTCATTGTGAGCCTCATCCATCATCATGGTAATAATTGCTCCTGGTGTTTTGTGCTAAGTCACTTCAGTCGTGTCTGACTCTTTGCAACCCTGTGGACTGTAGTCTGCCAGGCTCCTCTGTCCATGGAATTCTCCAGGCAAGTATGCTGGAGTGGGTTGCCATTTCCTCCTCCAAGGAATCTTCCTGACCCAGGGATCGAACCCACGTCTCTTGCATCTCCTGCACTGGCAGGTGGGTTCTTTACCACCAGTACCACCCGGGACGCCCACTCCTAGTCTTACAAGGCTTTTAAAGAATAAAAGAATCCATGGAAATGCTTAGCCCAGAGCTGCTGCCGTTCTCATTTTCCAGCCCTCATCACACCAAGGAGACAGCTGCTCTGCTCCAACACAAGTCCCTTTCTTCCCTAGTCATTCCTGCAACACCCACTCTTCTGCTGCTTGGTTATAACTTTTCTTGTCCTCTCTCACCACCAGCAGGGGTGGCCACTTACCACCTATGCAGCTTGCAGGAGGAAGACGAGCTAGTAAATACTTGCTATTTGTTCTCAGAGTTTTCAGTCTGTTACCCAAGGCACAGATCCCCGATGGTGCCCGGGGTCTGTTTCACTTCTTCGTGTTCCGTGATGCTCTTTCCGATTCTGGTCATTCCTTTCCAGCCACAGAACAGCCCGGCTCTCTGCACAGCTCGCAGGGCTTCGGGATAGGCCCCGTGGAGGAGTCCTGGTTCGCCCCCGCCCCAGATCACCAGCCGGAGGAGGACGACCTCCTGCTGCACAGTAAACTCCAGGAGGAGGCCAACTACCACCTCTACGGCAGCCGCATGGACAGGCGGACGAAAGAGCAGCCCGGACCGAGCGCGGCTTACAGCAGCGAGGAGAGGCGGCGCAGGGTCTCCCACGACCCTTTCGCACAGCAGAGACCTTATGAGAGCGCTCAGGGCCCAGGGATAAAAGGCCTCACCTACCCCAGTGTGACGAATCTCACCAGTACAGCCCAGCAGCCCGCAGGGCTGAGCGGCCAACCCCAGTCACCATACTGCAGAGACGGATCATTTCGTGCGCTTGAGCTTAGAGTGAGACCACTGGACCTAAGGACCACGAGTCCACCAGTTTGGTATGGGCCAAACCCAGGCCACATGCCAAGCCTATATAAAACTCCGGTGCCTGAGACCAACTTCCTGGGGAACACGCCCACCATTCCATTCACCTCTTTGCCATCAAGAGGTAAACGGGCCTTGCAGTCACACTGTTCTGTTAAATTTTCCTGAAAATAAAGCCAGCCACTAGCTCTGTCATAAATTAGAAGGTAACAAAGGTCAAGCCGTTTGGAGTCTTGGGCTGCCAGATGCACCTGGCCACCCCAGAATAGTCTCATCAGATTCCTCAGCCTAGGCTGTTTGTTCTGGTGGGCTTCAGGCAGCTACCCACATGTGCGGGGTGACAGAGCCTGACCTCCAGGGTGGGATCCTCCGTTCTAAGCCCAATCTCAGTAGTCCACCGTGTCCAGGCTCTGATGTAAGGGGAAGTAACTACCTGTATTCTTTCACTTGCTTGCTGTTTTCTGAAGGGTAAGAAGTAAGCCTCAGACATGTTCATCCTTTATCTCATCCAGGCCAGAGACTACCATTTGTGATGAAAACAACATTGTTGGGCAACCATCCCTCCAGAACTCTTCCTTCTTCCCAAACTGAACCTGTCCCCATCAGACACTAACTCCCCTTTCTCCTTCCTTCCTAGCCCCAGGCAGTCAACCTTCCGCTTTCTGTCTGTACCAATTTGATGACTCTAGGGACCTCATATAAGTAGAGTCGTATGGCATTTCTCTTTTTGTGACTGGCTTACTTCACTGAAGACAGTGTCCTCGAGGTTCATCCATGCTACATCCTGTGCCAGAATTCCCTTATTTTAAGGCGAAATAGTAATGTGTTACTATTATGTGGTCCATCCAGAATGGACCACATTTTGTTTATCCGTTCATCTGTGGATGGACACTTGGGTGCTTCCACTTTTTGGCTGTTAGGAATAATGCTACGAACATGTGTGTATAGATATCTGATTAAGACCCTGCTTTCAGTTCTTTGGGGCATATATGAGTAGAATTCCTGCATTGTATGGCAGTTTTTTTAAGTTTTTGAGGAACCACCACTGGTTACCACAGTGGCCGTGTCATTTTATATACCAGCAGCGCACAGAGGTTCCAGTTCTCCACACCCTCGCTGACACTGGTTGTTTTCTGTGTTTTTGATAGTTTCCAACCTAATGGATATGAGATGATTCAGCCAACTTTTAAAGAAGAAAATTTCAAGTGGTGGCGCAGGATAAATAATTTAACTTAAGCATTTGGAGTAGAGTCCTACCCTTTTCCCAGGCTGTACTTTTTTCTCTTCCTTGTAGTCTAGATATACCACTTATCTCTGCGTTTCTTTCTAACTAGATGAGTCTGCAAAGTATACCATCTACAACAGTTCTGGCATTCAGATTGGTGACAGCAATTACATGGAGATTGGTGGCATGAGTTCATCGGTACTGGACAGCACGTACATGCCCTTGAAAGAAGAGCCGGCTTCTAAGTACCAAGCTATCTTTGGTAAGACACCCTTCAAGGACGCATCCTACAGCAACCTAGAACTTTCTCACCTAATACTTCTCTGATTATTCTCCCTGCAGATGCCCTATTGCTCCTCATGTAATTTCCATAGAATTACTGTGTAACTTATTTATGTGTACTGAGGACATAATTTAGAATATCTAATTCATGGGTTTGCTGTGAAAGTGAAATGAGTCAATACAAATAAAGCACTTATACACTGTCTGGCACATAGTAAGATCTATAAAAGTGTTAAACACATCATCATCATCAATATGACCACCCGGACCCAGGAGCTCATCAGGTCCTCATCAAAAGGGATTCCGTAAAAGACAGAAGACTATGCCCTTAGCTGCACTTGCATAATAAAAATTAGAGGGCTTTCTCTTATGGGGTTCCACTATACAGCCTCGTAACATTAATCCCAAAATACAACCTGGGAAAAACAGGGTGACTTAAGAACCCAGCTTTCTATTTAACCCCAGGATTGGCATTCTTTTTTTTATTTAATCAAGGGCCAGAGAGTAATGTTTTCGGCTTCGCTGGCCCTGCCATCTCTGTTGTAGTCGCTCCGTTGACACTGCTTCCTTGGGGGCTTCCCTGCTGGCTCAGATGGTAAAGAGTCCGCCTGCAGTGTGGGAGACCTGGGCTCGGTCCCTGGGTAGGGAAGGTCCCCTGGAGGAGGGCATGGCAACCCACTCCAGTCTTCTCGCCTGGAGAATCCATGGACAGAGGAGCCTGGGGGGCTACAGCCCCGGGGCCACAGTCGGCCACGACTGAGCGACTAAGCAGAGCACACGCACACGTGGCACCGCAGCGCCAGGAGCCACGGGCAGCGCGCGCACCAAGGGGCGTGGCCACGCCGCAGTGAGCTTGTCTGCAGCAGCAAGCAGGGGCCGCGGCGGGCTCACAGGCCGTGGTTGGCCGAGCCATCTAGCCGTCTCCTGCTAGTCTGTAATGGACTAGAGCAGAGGCTGCCCGCCTCTGGGGCGACGGGGCCCCTCTCCTGCTGAAGCACTGACCGGGAGGCTGGCCTCTGGTGGTGACGGCCGGAGCTGCGCTGTGGGAGCCGAGGGAAGAATGGGTGATCTGCAGGGGAGGATGGGGTGTCTTTTATTATCCCACTTACTGAACATCGTGGAATACGGCTTGTTTGTGGTGGTTTATACTTTTATTTGCTTCGTTTTATTATTTTTACGAAGGCCTGAGAGGAAGGAACCAGGGAGGGAGAGGTCTGGGAGGGAGGACTCAGCGGGGCGGGGGAGGGATGAGCCCAGAAATGCCACGCCCGTGAAGACAGTGCACTCAGACAGTCTCCACACGGTGGCCTCAGCTTCCTTGACCAGGTAAGAAGAATGCGCACCACTGGGTGAAGGTATCCTGAGTTGAGTGACCTTAACTGTGGCCAGATGTAAGCAGGAAAGGCCCAAAAGGAACAAAAAGGGTGTTTTCCACCTTGACGTCAGGAAGGTGTCGTGTAAACAGGGGCTGCGGGCTCTGGGGGCAGCTCCCAGGAGGAAGAAGGTCCTCGCATGGGCTGGTAGGTAGGTGAGGATCATCCAGGGAGCCAACAGCCAGAGCCTGGAGAAGTTACCGTGTTCACCGATTCCTGGTACTCTGTACTTTATACAGGTGTTTGAAGCCAGCGTTCACATGGCCATAGCGCAATGCTTTCTCCTCTTTTCTGTTCCGCAGATAATACCACTAGTCTGACTGATAAACACCTGGACCCGGTCAGGGAGAATCTGGGGAAACATTGGAAAAACTGTGCCCGTAAGCTGGGTTTCTCCGAGTCTCAGATCGATGAAATCGACCACGACTACGAGCGAGATGGACTCAAAGAGAAGGTTTACCAGATGCTCCAAAAGTGGCTGATGCGCGAAGGCAGCAAGGGAGCCACAGTGGGGAAGCTGGCCTTTGCACTCTACCTGTGCTCCCGGATAGACCTGGTCAACTGCTTGATCCGCATCAGCCAGAACTAAGCTCCCAGGCGCTCCTACAGCCGGAGGCCGCCTTCTCACCCGGTGAAAGCCTGCTGCCTGCGGCGACTCGGACTTCTTTTCTCCCTGATGCAGGGGGTGCTTTGTCTGCGTAGAAATCACTTCCTGCCTTTCACAGCTGGAATGTGGAAAAAGGAGCCTACGGCAAACCACCCACCTCGCAGGACGCCCTACTCATGGCCAAGGCCCAAGCCAACAAGAAGCTAACAGGCTTTGAAAAGGAGAGGAGAGAGGTTTGAGAAAGACCTTTGTTTCCTTCATATTATCCCATACTCTTCATGCTGTTCGTTCTGGTTTCTGGGAGTTTTGTTTGAGCAAGGGAAAAAAAAAATTTCGGAGAATATAACCTAAGTCAGCTTTCTAGTTTTACACTGTCTTCTCCACATAAGTGCCTGTTATAACCAAAGTAAAAAAAAGTTCTCATCCAGTCAGATAGTGGAAAACTGGAGGGGGAGATGGCCTCCAGCTGCGGGAGGGGGCGGGGTGATTTCTTTTCCAGATGCATCAGTTGTGATCACTGTTCTCTAAATTCCAAACAGGTTAACTAATCAGTGTCAGAGGCAAAAAGCAGACAATATTTTAATGGACTAATTAAAATAAAATTTTGTACCTCAAATAGAAGCCACTGAAATGATGTGTCTGTATAAACGTAACAGTGTGAGATTCTCCATGGTGACTTTGCCGCGTGGGCTGGTGTTTCCATTTCACCCCAGCTACTGGCAGGAGAGGGGAAGCTGGGGAGAAAAGAGCCTTCCTGACGGTGCATTTTGACTTTCAAGATGAAAAACCCACAGGCCCGAGAGTCTAAGCCCTGCTGTCCTTCACACCTGGCTCAGGGACCTTTCCTTTAGCCCCCGCTGTCTAAACACTGGACCGAAGAGGACCAAGTTTACATCTGAGGAGTTTCGATGCTAGGCGCAAACACCACAAAAACACTCGTCTTGGGCAGGAATCAACGAAGTGGGACGACACAGACTACAATATGAGAAAGAAGGCGACCGGTTCTTGGTTCCGAGAAAGGTATCCAGACCCTGAAGTTGATACTGCTGAGACCCGCTCCCAGACCGCAGACCCTGCTTAGCAGAGTCCCTGCTTGTCGTTGTCGTGATAATCTTTGCTGTGGCTCCAGAAGACGAAGTTAGATCTTCAGCAACATGAAAAGGAGTTATTTCTCACAAGGCATTTTAAACAGTTTAAAAAGCTTTTCTAATTACAGTAATCCTATAAATAGGCCTGTATACAGTCAAGGTGTTAGAAGCATCTGATTACAAAGAAATCACTGAAAGACTAGTTCTATAGTATAATCCAAACACAAGGCCTCTGAAATCAAGCAGGCATTAAGTTCCACTCTGGCCATGCACCTGGGGCCTGCTTCCTGACCTTTGCCGGCCTCAGTTTCCTCATCTGTAAATAGGGTGCTAGGACATAAGGTAGGTGTGAGGAATAAAATAAGATGATGCATCTCATTTTTAGGTGCCTGGCACAAAAAAGCTATTTAAGATGATGTAGACCATGTTTAAAGTCTTTATTGAATTTGTTACGGTATTGCTTCTGTTTTTATGTTTTGGTGTAGAGGCATGTGGGATCCTATCTCCCCGATCAGGGGTTGAACCCACACCCCTTTGCATTGGAAGGCAAAGTCTTAACCACTGGACCACCAGGGAAGTCCCTAAAAAAAGTATTTTTTAAATTAATTTTTGCTGGAGTCTAGTTGATTTATAATGCTTTGTTAGTTCCAGGTGTGCAGCAAAGTGAATGTCATATCCACTCTTTTTTAGATTCTTTTATAGATTCTTTAGGTCATTACAGAGTATTGAGTTCCCTGTGTTATACAGTAGGTTTCTTTTTTAGTTGTCACCAATAGCCTAAGACCTCAGCGTTACCATTTTTGCTGCCCAGTAGGATAACTGGTGTTAAAATTGTACAATTATTTTTAACCCTCATCATCTCTGACAAGAAATCCCAATCAACATTTCATAAAAAAATAAGGAAATGTTGACCCCATCCAAGATTCTGAAAGTCAAACAATAGTAGCTGGAACATCACATATTTCTCTTTCCTTCTGTGCAGGAAATTGATGTGACAGCTTTATGTTGAAAGAACATCTTATCATAGTCGGTATTTAAATCAAACCTCAGTTTACTGCTCAAGAAACTCCCATGGGTCAGGAAGGACACTGCGGGCAATACAACGGTCCATGGCTGTAACACCAGGAAGCACTGTGCACAGAGGATTCTTACAATGGAAGGGTCTCTGGGAGAAGAAGTAATATAAAATGAAAGGAAGCTGCTGGAATCTTCAATTCAAGACAAGGCTCAACAACAGCCACCGATGTGCAGTTGTTTTCTGTTAAGAGAGTAGCCACAAAGGGTATTGTTTTTTATTTTCCCTATGGAACCTTCAGCTGCAAATGCTATTTATAATCTTTAAAGACTGAACTGGTCGTAAGAAGCACACACACTCAACAGTGGTGAAATACACATAAAATTTGCCATCTTACCCGTTTTTAAGTGTACAGCCCTAAGCACATTCACACTGTCTGCTGCCACGTTCCTGCAAAACTGAAGCTCTGCCCCCATTAGACATTAACCCTGCCGCCGGCCAGCCCGACACCCACCTGGGCCGCAGGGGCCTCAGTGACCTGGACTCACACGCGGCTCCTTTTACCACCATGCCTGCCGTCCTCGCCTCTCCCCCACCCCGGGGGCGGCCAGGGGCCCCACGCGGACACAACCCCCATCCTCCGCACCCGGCGCCCCCCTCTGCTCCCGCCACAGCGCCGAGAGGCGGTAGCCCCGGCCTGTCTGCGGGATCCTTCGGGGGCTCCGGCTTAGCTCTCGAGGCCCGCCCCGCTCTCCAGCCGCCGCCGGCCCCTCCCTGATCTCCGGGATCTCCGGCAGCAGGTGCCCTAGCGGGCGTGGGCCGGTGCAAGAACGCACAGAGCAAACCCCAGTCCCCGCCAGCGGTCAGGCCGGCGGCCCCGAGCCCACCCCTCCGCGAGGGCGGGACGCCGGTCACCGTTAGGCGAGAGTTGACACCCAGGGGAGACGCTGTGTGCCGATGTCCCCGGGAACCGCGAGCACAGGTGCGGCGAGGCATCTGCTAGAAACGCTGGGTCTCCAGCTCAGCGCCCACACCGCCCCGCGCATGCGTGCTCGGGACGGAAGCGGGCGAGCTCGGGGAGACCGGCGTCCCGGCGCATGCGTGCTCGGGGCGATGAGCTCTCAGGGCTGCTGGGAGACGCGGCGCATGCGTACTCCCCGGGCTGTCACACGCACCCACCATGGCGGCATTGCCGGGCGGTAATGCCGAGCAGCGGCTGAGGCTCCTACTCTCAGGGCTGAAGCCCGGGATCCAAGTCCCCCGGGTCGGGCCTGTCGCCGCGTTCGGGTAATGACGCCGCTCCCCTCCAGGGGCCCCCGTATCCTCGTCCGCGCGCTCGGGGCGGCGGGAAGGGGGCAGGGGCCAGCGGCCGGGACGGGGCCGCGAGCGGTCGCCGCCTCGCCGACCCTTTGCCCTTCAAGTCGTGACCCGGGCACGGCCGAGGGGGCGCTGCGCTCGGCCTTGGGGCGGCCATGCGGACGGAGGCCAGGGAGAAGGCGCGCTTGAACCCCGGACCCTGGCTCCTGAGCCAGCCTGCAGTGTTCCCGCCGCGTCACCTCTCGGAGCCGCTGGCTGGACCTCGAGCTGGGACGTGCGGGAGACCCACCCGGGGATCGGGGGATGCGGGTTCCTGGGCCCGGCTCCCCGAGGGGTGCAGGCCGTGGGGACGCCCGAGAGTCTGCCTTTCTCTCCTCTTACCACCTGCACATACCTTGAGAGAAGACAGCCCCTGGATTAACTTCTGGCCCCCCAGTCCCAAAGTGGGCGCCCTTGGTTCCAAGTGACAGTGGCCGGTCATGGGGGCGCGCGCGGGGTGGTCGTCGCTCACTGCCGGCGAGTCAGTTCCGTTCTTGACGAGGGAGGTGTCTGTGCACCAACTCGGCGGGTACTTGGGCTTCAGAGCTGCACTGTACCTGATGGCGAAGCATCCATTCCGAAGGCGTAGGGAGCAGTATGACCAGCTTTCCGCTTTCGTACTGTGATTCATTGGGTCTTGAGTTTAGGATTTTATTTTGTTACCATTTTAGGTCTATTAAGATTTTCAGAGCTGTTTTCATACAGATGGGAAAATAATGTCAGTGTCTGCAGCCTAAGTCCACTGAAAAATGCCTGTCTACCCTGTTTCCTGTTTACAGAAAGGAACTGAAATGAGGTTACTGTGATAGAACCAGTATCTGACTGTTGGTTAATGGTTGCAAGAAGGCCTCATCCACTTAGCAGTGCAGATCATTCATTCTAAAATATCCCTGGAAACAGTTTTCTCTGGATTTTGAACCTCCATTTTGTAAATGCAATTGAAATTGATCTGACCTGTGATGGGCCAAACATGCAGTGTGTTGACTAATCCTGAAACAAGAGTGCAGTTTGTGTAAGTAGGGGAGAGCACTCCTGTAAGACCATGGCTTCAGAGGAGTGGGTGCCCCAACCCACGATTGAGTTGTGTTCCAGAAGCTTCTCTGTACATCCGCCCTCTTCCACCCCAAGCCTTTTCTATCTGAAGTTGTATGTTATGTGCAGTTACAGTATTATAACTTGAGGAAGCCTAACAGCCCACCTGAAGACAGATGTTTCCAGTTCAATCTGGGGATACTCTGCCTGAGGGAAGAGAAGCGTCTGCCCCGGCCTCTGTCCAGCGGTCAGGGTGAGTGCCGGCCTGGTGTCTAGTAGCGCTGTAGGGGACTCTATTTGGCAGTGTGGTTACAGAAAAAGCATGTACTCGGCCAAGTTATGTAACCTGTCTGAGCCTCACACCTTGCAGAATTGTCCTAAGGATTTGACACAGTGAATTTTAAAGGCCAGGGCACTCAGTCATGTCCAACTCTTTGCGATCCCATGGACTGTAGTCTGTCAGGCTCCCCTGTCCATGGGATTCTCCAGGCAAGAATACTGGAGTGGGTTGCCATTTCCTGCTCTAGGGAGTCTTCCCAACCCAGGGGTCGAACCTACATCTCTCTTGTCTCCTGCATTGGCAGGCAGATTCTTTACCTCTGTGCCTCCTGGGAAGCCCCCATACTTGCCGGAGCCTGCCGGCAAACGACCTGGTCGAGAACGCAATTACCAGAGTACCTAGGACATAAGACTCAAAAAGATGGGGTTGAGAGGGACGGAGTCAGCTTGCATCTGATTCTGACAACTTGATTGAAGAAAACCACACCTATATATATGCTAACAGGAGTTACTAAAAATAGATCAAAGGTTTGCATATGTGCAGAGCTACAGGCACAGATGTTTTAAATTTCTCCACTTAAGATCAGTACAGCATTACCCTAGTGCCCAACATGATTAAGATCAATAGAACATTAACTAGATAGAAAACAGGCTTCAAGCATGTCGAGTTTATCAGCACCAGGAAAACAGGCGAAAGGTCACCGGGGTGTTTTTTCCCTGAAGGGGACAAATGCCAGTCTATACTTTAACAAGAAGGGGTGGCAGGACAAAGAGAGACCCTTTGTTCTCTCTTAGGGCCGTAAGGGGCCTGTACGTTCAGGCCGGCTCCCTGCACATACTAAGTAATTAGCAGTTACAATTAATAATACAAATATGACTAGATAATAATACAATGTATGAAAGGTATGAAAATAAGTCATCAAAATTCATGTTTGTGTTGCTAATACTTCATTGTAGCTAACAGTCCCTTTAGAAAAAAGTATACAACCCATGGCTGATTCATGTCAATGTATTGCAAAAACCACTACAATGTTGTAAAGTAGTTAGCCTCCAATTAAAATAAATTAATTTTTAAAAAATGAATAGAAAAAAATATACAAAAGAAATACCTGAACATACACGGTACAGAGAATATGTTGGACTTTCAAAATGAGGACGTATCTTATGAGGTGGCTCCTGTTTTTATTTCTGAGCAGAGTGTGACATTCAGGTGCTCACTTTGACTTTGCAAATTGCAAGCGGGTGACTGGGGCCCGTTACCTAAACTCTTAACACTCAGCTTCCTCGGTGGTAAAATTAGGCAAAGTCTAATGTGCATCATCAGAGGACATTACCTAGTTTAATACACTGACCAGTTCTACTGTAGTTACTGCCCCAAACTGTTCTGTTCTTGCCGGCCCTGCGGTCATCTCCCTCGTTGAGGGGGTTTGCTGCGCTATCGCTCCTGCCCCGTGCCCATCCCCCCCCACCACACACACACAGACTTGTTCGTCCAGCCTCCCAGAAGGAGGGACAGGACAGATATGAGATGGATGGCTTTCCAGACTGTGTTTAAAAAGGAGACTGAAATTTTTTGTTCTCCAAAATGAATTCAGTATAACCTTTCTTATCCTTGGTTGTCTATTGGATTCTCTTAGGGAATTTAAAAAATGCAGATGCATAGATCCTATCCCAGAGATTTTCATTTAGTGCAGCCTGGGCATCTGGAGATGTAAAGGTTTGCCAGAAGATTCAAATTAAGCTTGCGACCCCCACTCCCCGCCCCCCACCCGGGATATCATGGGGGCAGGAAGTGGTCTCATCCACAGCGGGCTGAGTGGGCAGGTATGTTGGGGTACGGAAGGCATGAACCTGTGTCTGCTGTGTGCACCCCAGGGTCTTCTGTCTCCACAGCTTCTGTCAGAATATCAGTAGTTGGCAGACTGGTCTTCTCTGCCAACCCCTAGGCAACCTGAGGTGCCCAGCACAAAGTCGGGGTTCCGGATGTACATGAATGGGTGAATAACACAGCATTGTTTCAGAAAGCACGTGCCAGGGCTCTACCCCAGAGTCACCAGTGGGTCACCAGGTGTAGCTTTAACTCCTCAGGTGATTTCTAATGAACACACCTGCTTAAGAACACCTAGGTTAGCAAAGCGATTAATAGGAGGGAGAAAGTGCTGGAGGAGTAAAGCCTAAAGAGAAAGAGGTTCGTTTTTGTTCTTTAAAGTTTTCTAACTTTTTCAGGGGCCTGACCACCATCCAAGAGCCCTTTGATAATCTGGAGGGAGAATGCAAAACTCATTTCAAGTGTATTGATGTGGAAAGTCATTTAATAAATATTTTTTAAAAGGAAACTTTTTTCTTTTTAAGTTAATTTGCTTTTGTCCAGTTTTCTGTCCCATTTCTCCAGCCTGGAGATGGAGGCGAGGTTCTGGGAGCCTCCATTGCCCCAGGGGCCGGCTGAAGTGACAAGGGCAGGTCCCAGCAGCAGTCACAGCCCCAGGAGTGCTCCCTGCCCTGACAGCGCAGCCGCAAACATGTTGCCATCTAGCCTGACCTTTGCTCCTCTGTGCCCACACTACTGCTGGCCCCACCTGACCTGCCTTCCCCCAGGTGTGTCCCTGACTTCTGGGCCCTTGAGGGTCCCAGTTCTCCTAGAAGCACCCTCCCCACCCTATTTTCTCTCCAGCATTTTACCCATCTTGGAATTTCATCTTAAAAGTCACCTCTCCATTCTTCTCCAGGTGCCTCTCCCCAACCCCCACAGGGCCTCTCATCTCTGAGACCACCCTCAAAGTCCTCTGCCTCCACAACCCTCCCGTGACACCTAGCACCCATCACGCCCAGGTCTAGACGGCCTGGTTTTATCTGTGTGCTTAGGCATTGGGGAATCTACAGATAGGGCAAGGCACAGGCAAGTGAGAGGTTTTCGGCAGGAGAGACATCAGACAGACCACAAAAGGGAAGTCGGGTGTGAGCCAGGCCCCAGGCGGCTGGCTCCCAGGCCTGAGAGCCCGAAACTCCAGGACTGAAAACCCTGGGCTCGGAGATAGCGAGAGATGGCGGGGTCGCCTCATATGTGATGCCTTCCCAATGCAGAATGCCTTTACAAGACGTCCTTCACGCTGCAAGGCAGGGGCCCTAGAGAACCTTGCAGGCCGGACGAGTAGCAGGAGCAGTCCCTGAGCTGAGCAAGCGCCGGGTGTCTGTCTGGGGAGCCACCTTGTTCCTGTGCTGGACAGGAGTCTGACCGCTTCTCTGCTGTCATGACCCTCCCCTCCCTGAGGGTGTGCAGACACCTCTCTGCAGATGGCTGGGGGCAAAGGAAACGTCTATAAACCCTCGTTTCTGAGTTGACTCTAGGAGTGGAGCATTAGGCGGTTTTATCTTGTCCTGGAGCCGTCCGAGGATGCAGGATGTTAATAACAAGTAACAGCACGGTCCCTGAGACAGGACCCCGGCCCAAGGGTCCTGTTATTACCCCTCCTGTGACATTTCTGTGGACCATGAGCCTGTAGTTAGGTCAGCCTTACTACAACCCAGGTCTGTGTGTTTGACTTGCCGTGCCTGCCAGCATCTGTCCTGCTCTGCCTTCATGTCCGTCCTGCGTGTCACCCGGCCGTCTGAGGGGCTGCCGGGAGGCTCTCGGCGCCTGAGGCCGGGCCGAGTGTGCGCTGTTGCTGGGTGTCCTGGAGCTTCTGGGACAGTCACTGAGGGGGTCGCCCTGCGCAGGGCCCCCAGGACGACACATGGTTCCATGCTGCACGTGGGCGGTCTTGGGTCAAGGAGGGGCCGAGGTGTGGGACTCTGTAGACACAGACTGGCTACTTAACAGTCAGTGCAGACACCTCAGCATCTTACAAACAGATCTGGCCACATCCGAGCAGACAGGCATTCTTGACCAGGGCGCTTGTGCCGCTGCCTAGAGAACAGAGAGGCCAGGAGCCAGAAGGTCAGCCTGTGGACCCCACGACCGGCGTCACCCTTGGGATTGCTGCCTGTGCAGCCAAAGGTCTGGGTGGCTCCTCTGGACCTGCCTGGGCCTCGACCAGGGGTTCCAGGCTCTGTGCCGGCGCCCTGCCCACCTGGCCTCCCACCGCGGAGGTCCTGCCTCCAGCTGCGGGGCTGTGGGCCCGTTGACATCAGTGCTCCCGTGGGTGGGCCCGGAGTTGGTGCTGCAGTGGCCCTCCCTTTCCTTTGGGAAACTGAAGCGCGAAGCCGGATGACCAGGGGCCAGGGAGTGTGCTGGGGCTGGCTGGCGCGCAAGCTCAGTTACCGTCTGAGGTTGGGGCTTCTCTCTTGCAGCTCCTCTGTGATCTCTGCCAAGGCGGCGGTGAACGGCGTCCACCTGCACTACCTGTGCACCGGAGACGGAGAGCACGCCGTCCTGCTGCTCCCGGGGATGCTGGGTGCGCAGGTTTCCCTGGCAGGCCTGGCAAGCTGTCCTCTGCTCAGCCCCCAATCCCAGATGCCCGGGCTCAATGCGCAGCCTTAGCGCTTCGCTGAGATGCTTTCTGTAATATTTGCCGCAATCAACTTTAGGTGATCCAGAAAGCTACCTTTCTTTTAAAATTTTACTTACTTAGTCATTCCTGGCTGTGCTGGGTCTTCACTGCTGTGGGGGCTTTTCTCTAATGCAGTGAGCGATGGCTGCTCTCTAGTTGCAACGCTTGGGCTTCTCATTGTGGCGGTTTTCTTGTTGCAGAGCACGGGCTTGAGTTACGCTTCACGAGCTTAGCTGCTCCACAGCATGTGGGATCTTTGCAGCTCAGGGATCAAACCCGTGTCTTCTGCATTAGCAGGTGGGCTCTTTACCACTGAGCCACCAGGGAAGCCCCGAAGATACCTTTCTACTTTATGCAGTTTTCATTCCTTTAAATACCCGCTTTTCTCCATGGAAGTCCAACGCTGTGTAGTTTCCTGCAGCCTGAAAGTGAAAGTCTCTCAGTCTTACCTGACTCTTTGTGACCCCATGGATTCTCCAGGCCAGAATAGTCGAGTGAGTAGCCTTTCCCTTCTCCAGAGGATCTTCCCAACCCAGGGATCGAACCCAGGTCTCCCACATTGCAGGCGGATTCTTTATCAGCTGAGCCACAAGGGAAGCCCAGGAATACTGGAGTGGGTAGCCTAAAAGTAGCTGCTAAAAGTTGGACTGATCTCCCTGCTGTGCGTGACTATGTGTTCAGTCAATTTAAGAACAAAGCTGGGCTTTCACAGCCTTTCTGAAGGTCAGAATTAGTTTGGCGTGAACAGAGCATGGTAAAAGCCAGACGGATCACCATCACCTCCTGCGGGCAAGAAGTTTAGGTGTAGAAAGTTCAAGAGGGGAGTTTCCAGTGATCCCAGAGCATGTCAAATTTGATTTTAAGGTTTCTGTTACTGTTCTATTTTTTATTTAGTTAAGTAATCCCATCATATACTTATTTCCTTATGATTTGCTTCTTTATCCTAAAAGTAAAGTGCTGACATTTTTCAGTTACCTGGTGGTTCCAGTTGACGTAGCCTCAGCTGGTGGTTGCAGCTGTTGCGGCATCTGCGTCCAGGCAGTGTTCGGTAATCTCTTTCCCTCGCGCTAGTGTAATGGAGCAGGACCTTTACTCCAGTGGTCGATCCCAAGCTAAAGCGATGAAGTTTGCCAGCATAGATGGCCATTGGTTCAATATTGCTGTCATTATCCTGGTATAAAAACCTTTTGGCAATGTTAATGTTTGCTTGTGTAAAACATTAACCTGATTCAAACATCAAGCAGCAAGTTTCTGCCCTGAACTGCCATCCCCCAGCACCCATTCCCCTCCCCACGGGCAGCCGGTGCTGACGTGTGTCCCTCTCAGGTATCATGTATTGGTAACTACTCTTTAAAGTCGTTTTTTACGGTTTTAGCGCTCTTGGCACTGGTCTTCAGGTGTGTGCCAGGACGCGTGTGTCTTGTTTCCGACAGTGGTGGTGAGCCCACTGCCGCCCTTTCACACCTTCTCCTGCCCCTCCTGCAGGGTGGTTCCCTGGGAGTCCCCCAGTTCAGGGATCACGGGAGCAGCCTCCGAGGTCAGAGCACTAGGCTCGCACTGAACTCCAGTTTGTTCTTGGCTTGGGTTTTCTGGATGGTTTATCTGGGGTTGAGAAGGTACATTTTGTCAGGGAAAGTGACGGTCCTTGATGATGTTAAATGATCCTACAGTATCTTGAAAGACATTTTCTAACAATCGCCAGTTTGTGAAGCAAGGTGTGGCCATAGCTGTGAGCCCGTAGAAACCAAGCAGAGCTTAGAAATGAGATGCTGACTTGCCCCTGGACTGGGCTTCTTGGGAGTCTGGCCTTCCACTGTGTGGACCTCACTGGGCAACTCTGCCTGCCAGTCAAGTCCACCACTGGCTTGAGAACACTGTTCTACTTGCTAATATTCACATACTGTTGTCGTGAAACACACTGATTTATTCCCTCCACATCCTGCCCTCCATCATTTTAGAGTTTTAGTTTAATTTTCTGGTTTCTAGTTATGACCAGAAAATAAAATCTCCAAGGCTATTCTCATTAGCTTAGTAAAAGACATGTGGGATTTTAGAATTTGGCTTTGAATAATTTGGATCAAATCTCATTAATGTGTCTACAGATACTATTAAGATCTCTCTCATTTGCAACAGTCACTTTAAAAAAAGAAAGAATGACCCATAATTACATTGTATCAGTAGGTTTATTTCCACACAGTTTCATGAGTTTTTTTTTTTTTTAATAAAAAGGACAGTTAAACTGAGAAGATACCAAGCGTGCTGGAATATTAGTGATACAGGACCAAGGGAAGAAGTGCGTCCTCCTCAGAGTAGCTGCTAGGGGGGAGGCAGGGGCAGGTCTAAGCTCCCACGGGAGAGGAAGCCCCGGGTTCCCTCCCTGCCGGGCTGCTCTGCTGGTTACAAAGGTGCTGCTCTTTTGACTCGAAACCAGTTACTGCATCCCTTGTTTCTGTGTTTGCTGTAGTGTGTTTGAAGCAAGGACAGCGTTTACTGGAGTGTAACCGGATGACCACTTTTATTGATAGGCAGTGGAGAGACAGATTTTAGACCTCAGATTGAGAACCTGAATAAGAAGCTCTTCACGGTGGTTACCTGGGACCCCCGCGGATACGGACACTCACGACCCCCGGATCGGGATTTCCCAGTGGACTTCTTTGAGCGAGACGCAAAAGATGCCATTGATTTGATGCAGGTGGGTCTCTTGAGGAAGAGCTGGGAGGAAGCAGGCTGGGCCTGTCTTCATTTATTTTGCTTCTGTTTGTTGTTTCTCCGAGGGTAACTCCTACAGACATTCAGAGGGTTCAAATAGATACAGAGGAACGTGTTTAGAGACACCGCTACCATGGCTTTGAGGCTCTGCCTTTGTGGGCAGTCCTAAGACATACATAAATACAGTTTGTATTGACGGCATCCTTCTATACCTAATGGCTTTCCAGCTTACTGTTTCATTGCACAGTTTATCACAGAGATACTTCCAGGTTAATAAGTACAGATAGGCTTCAGTTGGTAATAGGCACTTAGTGTCCATTCCATTGTGTGGACACACTGTCTTAGTTCCTCTGTCTTCTGATGGTCGATACATTATTCCTAAGCTGCTGTGTATGTATGTGTGTGTGTGATTATACAGGAAGTGCAGTGAGCACTTGTGCGTGGACATTGTGGCCCTTATTTACTGCTGTAAATAGCGCTGCTGTGGATTTTGTGGGCCTGCCCTGGTGCGTGTGTGTGAATTCCGTGCACGTTTAGGAGATGACTTCCTGCGTGATGGAAGATACAGGGTGGAGCCAAAGTTTACCCCATAGGAGTCACGCCAGTCTACAGTCCCGTCGACAGACGTCTCAGACTAATACTTGGTAATTTCCCAGTCATTCAGTTCTTAACTGCTCAGGAGCATCTCTCCGGTGTAACCTCTGTCCATTCACCCAGTCAAGCGCATTCTTGGAGCCTGGCCAACTCACCCAAAGATTCAGTAGCACCCCCCACCCTCACCGCTGTGTCTCCTGTATCCCAGGCGTCCTGCAGCCGGTTCTTCCCAACGCTGCAGTCAGTGACTTGGCCAGATACAGTGGCCCCAGCCCTCCAGCAGCTCGCAGGAGTCCCTCTGATCTGCAGACCTGTCCTCAGCATCTTCACTCAGGCCTGTGTGGACACACACACGTTGTCATGACCAAGTAGAGCCAATTCCCACCGTGTCCTTTTCCAGGAGATACTACGCCCCCTGAAGATGTAGCTCCCTCCCGATTTGGAACCGTACTGGATGCTGTACGCATGCTCAGGCGTCTGTGAAAGTCGTGTTCTCGCCACAGCAGACCCAGAGGAGCCGTTTATGTCGCGGACGGTGGGCTCCAGGGTTGCTCTCTGACACCTGCAGACACGCCACAGCTGTGTCGATCCCAGGTGTTCTTGATCTCAGGCTCTCTCTGCAGCTAGGATCCCTAACCACGCTCTGCGTTTTGCTGTGTTTGTCACAGACGCTGAATTTTAAGAAGGTCTCTTTGCTGGGGTGGAGCGACGGGGGGATAACAGCCCTCATCGCGGCCGCACGGTACCCCTCGTATGTCAGCAAGATGGTGGTCTGGGGGGCCAACGCCTACGTGACCAAGCAGGACATGGAGATTTACCAGGGTAGGTCCCTCCGCTTGGCGATGCTTGGGCATGTGCTGACAGGTCATGGGAGGATGAAGCCTTCTCAGCAAAGTCGTGCACTTTAACTAGTCTGCATTTTAAAGTTTCCTATTTCCAGCAGTGACACTCAGGAAAAGGCTGGAGGGTCAGTACTTAGTTTCCTGCTGTGCTCGGGACCTTCTGGGAGGGAGGGGGGCTGACATAAGTGTTACTTACAGCCTCATTTCAGGTTCCCCGGGTGTGGAAGGGAACACTGTACTCAGGTGGGAAACCTTAGTTTCGATGAAGAACCCTTGTGCTGTTGACACGTGCTAAGGTTGTCCTTCAGGCTATCTGTGAGGACTTCAGAGACACAGAGCAAGAGCTGGCAGACTGCAGCCCGTGGGCCTGGCCACCGCCTGTCTGTGTCCGGCTGAGGCTCCAGCGGACGCGGCTGGCGCCGTGGGGGCGGGGGACAGGCTGGCGTCCCTGCCCAGGCCCCGTGCAGGCAGCTGCCTCGCCCACCAGGCCCCCAGTCAGGGCGTCCAGCTGCCAGCTTGGGAGCTTCTCGGCCCCCAGCAGCCGCACCTGCCCCGGTGACCCCAGCCCTGCCCCACGGCTGCCCCTCCTCTCCCAAACCGTTTCCCCAGTTTGTCAGTTTAACAAAACACAAAAAACCCTCCTTCGGGGGGTGGGGGCGGTCTCCTCACTGAGCGGGTGTCCACCAGTTACTTCTGCTCCCCCCTCCTCCCCCCTCCTTCCCCCCTTCTCCCCTCTCCTCCCCCTTCCTCCCTGCCCTTCCAGGGACTGGTTGAACTTTGTAGACTGAGTCTCCACTTCCCTGTTTCTGTTCATCATCTCCTCGTTGCTGTGTGTAGGGTTCTGCATAATTAAGCTTTTTCTTTCAATTTTCTAGTTGTTTCACTAGCTTTGTAAAGATTCTGATTGCTTTGTGGTTTTCTGATTAGCAGCAAATAATTGCTTACCCTTAATCTGAAAACAAACAAAATAAATGGTAAGCATAAATCAAGAATGCTTTCCTTCAGAGCTATCCACTTGCTGCCCCTGGGAACCATGGATGGTGTCAGGTGGGGCCCCCTTTCATCTCGATTCAGCTGTGTCCACCCTCCCCCAGCGAACAGTCATCCTCCCTCGAGGCAGCCCTGCCTTGGCGTGGTCCTACCAGTCTTTGCTGTGTTTTCAGGGTTCCTGTCTTTTACGCACACACACTCTCATACTCGTCTTCATCAATTACTGCAGACTCCAGCGATGCAGCAGAAATTATATGTTATGACAGAGCTAGTTGTTCACCACAAAAGGGCCTGCAGCGGGTGCGGTCCACTCCACAGCCAAGGGCAGAGCCATGGTCCTGGGCTGGCCGTCCGCATGCCTGCTCTCCCCTCCTCCTCGTCTTCCTGCACCGCGCGCGCTCCCCTCTCGCACTCTCCCCTCCTCTTCCTCCTCCACCACACACTCTCCCCTTCCCAGTCCTCCTCCACTGCGCGCTCTCCCCGTCCTCCCCGCCCTCCTCCTCCACCACGCACTCTCCCCTTCCCCGTCCTCCTCCACCGCGCAGTCTCTCCTCTCCGTCCTCCCCTCCCCGTCCTCCCGGGCGCTCTCCCCTCCCCGTCCTCCCCGCCCTCCTCCTCCACCACGCACTCTCCCCTTCCCCGTCCTCCTCCACCGCGCAGTCTCTCCTCTCCGTCCTCCCCACCCCGTCCTCCCGGGCGCTCTCCCCTCCTCCCCTCCCCGCCCTCCCCCTACACCACGCACTCTCCCCTTCCCCGTCCTCCTCCACTTCACTTGCTCTTCCTTCCTGGACCTCAGGCTGCTTCTCTACATCTCCCCCTCCCATCCGAAATCTCCTCAGTTCCGCCCAGGGCAGTTCTGCGTCCTCAGCCTCTGGACTCAACCCTGGAGGCCCATCTCCTCCATCCTGAGGAGCAGCAGAACGGCGGGCGTTGTCTCTGTCGGGTCGCCCCGCCCCGGACAGCAGTTCGAGCCGTCCGTGCCTCTCAGCTGTGTCCACTCACCCCGCGCGTGCTGGGCCTCAGGTGCCCGGCCCTGTCCCAGCCCCCGCTCGGCAGCGCACCACGTGAGTCCTGCCGTCCTGTCTGCAGGGCGGGTCCTGCAGACGGAGCTCTGCACCCGAGGTGCTTGGTGAGCACTGTTGACTGTGCGCAGGAGCTTCAGAATCTCCACAGTCATCGTGTTTTACTGAAAAATGGGAGAAACTGGGCTAAGGGATTGAATTCGCTTATCCATTCTGAAGCCATCATTTCCTTTCCCATCAGAGAGTCATCTGTGCAACAGCTTGTAGTTAGTAGTTACAATTTCTCCAGTGGTAGAACTTGGAGCAAATGATGTTTATGCATTTCTCTGTGTGTGTAAATGCAATTCAGAAAATCTCTATTATAAGTAATGTCATTTTTACGCTGATGACCCCAGTTAGGGGAATATCCGCTTCTGTCTTATACCTTTAGTGGAAGCCATTATTTTAGATCTGATTTCATTCCCTCAGTCAGAATCTGCTGCTGCCCAAGGGCCGCCGTGGGGGACAGAACACAGCGGAACCCTGACATAGCACTCAGCATTCACCACGGCTGCAGAAGCCAGTGGAAGCGACCATGCTGGACAGTGACGCGGGGGGTCAGGGAAGGCCCGGCCGACTGGAGTGAAGCCTGGCGAGCCACACAGGGACCGACAGGCAGCCAGTGCCACGGCTCCAGGTGCATTGCGCTTGGAGTTTTCACAGATGAGCTCTAGTCTGAGGCTAAACCCATCCTTGCCCACACGTCTGTCTGTCTTCCAGGACTCCGGGATTTTTCTAAGTGGAATGAGAGGACGAGAAAACCTCTGGAAGCCCTCTATGGGTTCGACTACTTTGCCAGAACCTGTGAAAAGTGGGTGAATGGCATGGACCAATTTAAGCGTCTTCCAGACGGTAGGTCACACGAGCCACTTAACGGTCCCTTTGCTGGTTAGAGAGGCTGAGTCCCCCTAATGCTCGCGAATCCCTTGGGGATTGACACACTCGCCCACCATCCTTCCACACTGACGCGTGAACAGAGGGTGATCATGTACAAAGGCAAGTTCTTGTGCCGCACACCCTCCTGGCATCAGAGATAGACGTGTGTACAGAGTTCATGTTGTTGACTCTCGTAGCACGCTGGTCTTTTCCCCTTTGTCTCCAGAAGTCTCATACACTCTTCTAACTCCAGGATGGTCTCTCAAAAACAAACAATGGCAACGTAGACTTCCCCCTTTTCACATCTAGAGGCATCAGCCCACTGCCGCCTCTGTTATCCGGCAGGAGAGGAGGGGTCTCTGTCACAACCTTCAGCCCCAGTGGAGTCAGGATGAGGAAAAAGGATTCAGTCCTTTCCTGTCTTCCGAGCTAAGCTGTGTTGTTTCAGCCGTGACAGGTGTGTTCCGATAACAAGAACTGGCACCCTTGAGAGAAGCTCTGAATTAGTCTGTTCTTGGAGCTGTTTTCATTTCTAAGCTCTCATTTTTCTAATTGCCAAAAGAATAGAGAGTAGGTGGGATCTGACCTTGAAACACATCAAGTTACCAAACAGTTATGATTCAGGGCCCAGTTTTGTCTCCTCAGTAGTCATTTCCAGAATGAGTCATCCGTCAGAACTTTCATAATGAGAAGGACATTTGGAAATGTTACTTTGTTGCCATAAGTTCAAAACAAGTATATCCTGTTCAAACGCAGTGTGCACCCATAGAAACGGGCCGAAATATGTTTCAGGAGGCTGGAAAGATAAGCCACAGACAGGAGCGACTGTTTCCTGAAGGCCGGGGGTCCAGGGCTCAAGGCTTGTGGGGTCTTCGTTCCCCACCCTGGGACGGAGCTCCCCTGCAGTGGAGGCGCAGAGTCCTAACCTCTGGACCGTCAGGGAAGTCCCTGCAAAAAAGCTCTTAAAACTGAACAGTAAGAAAACAGCCTGATTGAAATACAGACCAAACAGCAAGATCCCACTATACACCTCTTAGAACAGCCACACAGAGGAACTTTAGGGCAGTGAAAGCGCTGTGTAGTATCATTGTGCCATATCAGTGTCATCCTGCATTTGTCCAAACCCACGGTGTGAGAACTGCGGACGTGGGGTGGTAGTGACGTGTCTGCTGTGACAGATGTCTGATGGGGGCGTTGGTGACGTGGGTGGCAGGAGACAGGGCGTGTGCCCGTGCCTGCCTTGCGATTCTGCCGTAAACCTCAAACTCTAAAGAAGGAGGTCTACTGCGAAAGAGAAAGGGAGGGAGAAGGTGTCATGGAGAATCCAGCACTGCAGGAATCATCTTACAGCAAGGCTGACAGTAAACGCCTTCTCTCCCTGCGGGGCCGGTTCCATGGACCGTGGCCCTTGTCCGGTCCTCAGGGTTGCAGCCGCTCAGCGTAGCGTAGGGATGCGTCGCGGGTTTGGCGTCAGACAGGCCCGGGTGTGTGCTCTGGCTTTGCCACGTGGCTGCCGTCCAAGTGGATTCAGGGAAACAGCAGGTCAGGACCCGGAGCCCAGCCTGTGCCTTGCTGCCCAGGAATGCTGTCATCCCTCGGGGCAGGGCCTGGGGTCTCCCCAGGGTGGGCGGGGGGGCAGTCAGGGTGGAAGGCAGCTTCCGTCCTACTGAAGCTGTGGCTTCGCCATGAGGAACACGGACTTGGAGGACCAGCGGGGGCCCCTGAATTTCAAGGGAGAAGCTTTTCAGATGCCCCATGTAATACAGAGACTTGCAGGTTTTTTGTTTAACTGCTGTTTTATATGAATTATGAATCTAAATCAGCCAGGACTCCTTGTTCACTAGTAGAGCTTAAAGGAAAAAGGCCAGGAGAGACAGAGAGCAGGAAACCTGGAGACTGGTGGAGCTGGAAGCACTCAGGCCGTCTGATCCAGGCCAGATGCTGGCGGGGGTGGGGGTCCACCCCCCGCCCCAGGAGGGCCTCAGGAGAGCTGTCTTGTGTCTTGCAGGGAGCATCTGTCGGGACCTGCTCCCCCTGGTCCAATGCCCCACCTTAATCGTGCACGGCGAGAAGGATCCTCTGGTCCCACGTTTCCATGCCGACTTCTTACACAGACACGTGAGAGGGTCACGGTGAGTCCAGCTGCAGCCAGCGCTCTGCGCCAGGGCCTTGGGAGACAAACGGGAGGCGCTGCAGGAGGCGAAGGCTGAGGGCTGGGCTTTCAGGGTGTACCCCGCCCCATTTGGGAACCGAGGGGCCGAGGGGCCCAGGTGCCCTGGGTTTTGGCAGCAGGATTGGGAGTTCCCGCCCTGGTGGCACCAACCCAAACCCATCCGCCCCTCGGAAGCTCTCACTGTAAAATCACCACCTGCCCTGCAAGTCCGTAAAATCAAAACAGGGAAGCAAATCGCCTGCCGCTTGCCATCCACTTAAATACTTCCGTCACTAGCACTTTTGTGTGTTCCGCTTTTCTAGTATTTTTTAACATAGATACAATCGTATTCTGTCTTCAACTTTGATTCCTGCTTTTTTCCTGCTTAAAATTATGTTGTACACTTTTCACGTTAAGCCTTAAACACGTACACATCAGGGGAGAACCCGTTCCTCAAAACCACAGGGGAGCAAGGTCTGCCTGCCGGCCCCGGGCACGCTGGCAAGCCTAACGAGAAGTGTCAGTGGAGTCTGGTCTTCAGTCTCATTCATTTCTGTATGGAGCAGAAGTTTATCATTTAAATACTTGGGCTGATGTGAGACCCAGCTTCTGCTGGTACTTAATTCAAGATTAAAATTCTGTGTTGAATAAACCTGATGTTTCCCTGATGTGCAGTGATGCACATCCGGAAGGAGAAAATAAGGTCTGGCCAGGAGGTTGTGGCTCACAATAACCACCCAGGGAGCCTTGACCCGTTGAGAGCCTGCATATTCACTCCAGAGACGCTGTTGTCATTCCCCGGGACATCTTTGGAGTTGTATAGAATTCTTCTGAAAATGGCCTCATCCTAAGTGACCTAAGGACATCCTCCTCCTCCCCAGTGTGAACCACTTCCAGTTCCCACAGCAGGCCAGCCTGCCAGGATGGCCCCTGAACCAGGAGAAGACTCAGACACAGGCCCTCCACTTCCTGATTGTGCTCTTTATTCCCCAAGAGATTTTAACAGACAGATTTCTTGGAGAGTTTTTAAATGTGGGAAACATGCTTATTATTCTGCAATAAAATATCATTAGTATAAACTTGTATAATTTCTGTTTCCAAACAGCATTTCATATTTCAGAAGGCGTCTTATTTTACTACAATATCTAATTAAACTTTACAGCAAAATCATGGAAAAAAATATTGTCCCCATTTTACAGATGGGGTAAAATCAAGGCTGAGACACATTAGGTCATCTTCCAAGGTTACATAGCTAGTAAATGACAAGCTCTGGATCTTTTTTTTTCCCCTCGTAATATAGTGCTTCCCTTCCCCAACACAGCTACCTCTCACAGACATACTCTTATTTTAATATGATGGTGAGAGGCCTGAATCACATACTTTCTGACCTGGTTAAGTGTCTTCTCTCTTCAGAAATGACAAGTTTTTGCACACTGACACTCATGATAAACGACGTGTGTTCCCTTAGAGAGCCAGGTTCAATAAAAGTCTGCAAGAAAGTTTAATTTAGGAATTCTGTTCCAGACCCATCTCCTAGCAACTGAATACATCAATATGGGAGAAAAATATTCCCTTACCATTCAGACGTTCGTGGTTTCAGTACATTGGCTTATGGAAGGTCGTTTTCTCAGAGCAGGATTCTTTGGAACAGTTGAGTCGAGAGGAAAGTGTTGCTGCGATGATTGTCTGAAACTGGCCGGCATATTACGCTTGCGCCCTTCCGCTGCTGGGGAAGCCTTGTAGGTTGAGCAAGAAGCTAAAACATAGTGGTTCATTTTGGACCCACAGAAGGAAGGTCGATTCCTGGAGCACCAAGGTCCTCCTCCGACTGTGCTCACAGGCCTTCTGACCCCTAGGGAGCCACTTAAGTGCAGGGTGCTTCCCATGAACTTGGGGCTTCATTTTCTTCCCAGAAACAGATACAGTCTATCCCCTCAAAGATTTTACCTGCAAATAGATACCAGTTATGAAACCAACGCCTTTGTCTCCTAGAACCGCGCCCAGAAACAGTGGTGCGTATTTCTGTATCCGTTTCCTGGATGGGCTCAGTGGTGTCTACCAGCACCCCCGCTTTCTTCTTGCGGAATGAAGGGGCTGTACGGGCACAGCCGAGGCAAGCAGGGGCTCAGCACAGAGCGCCCGCCTTTGTGGACGGGACGCTGGTGTGGGCATCAGTGGTCAGGGCCCGAGACGGCCGCAGAGAGCACGGTGGGCGGTCAGTGGCATGGCGCCCTCGGGCCTGCTCGGGAGTCTCCACAAAGGACAGAAGAGGACTGGCCCCCTCAAAGCGGGGCTCTGCGTCAAGGTCTAGCTTGGCCCACACTGGGAGACCTGGGGCGGCCCAGTGCCCCCTTGCCTGCCAGCACGCTCGGCGGCTGGCTCTTTCTGTCCCTTGAGGACGGAGGCTGTGAGCCTCCTGCGAGCCCCGTCCGTCTAGAGGACAGCTCCTCCTCTTATGAGCAGCACTGACCTTGACTGGGGAAGGCCTCGGCTACTGCTGATGGCATCACTAACCTTCCCCGGGGGCTCAGAAAGACACCGACCGCAGACCCTCCTTGCAAGCCGGCGATCTTGACAGCCTGGATACCCCCTTACCCCCCTGCCCCATGTGCTCAGTTGCCAGAGACCCGGCATCGCCCAGGGACAGCTCTGTTCCGAGCCTCCCCCCGGCCCACAACCCACGAGTCTTCCCTGATGTTCACCGAGGTCCTGGGGCTCCCAGCCCCCTGCTGTGGAATGCAGAGAAGCGGGCGATGTGACAACTGGCATTCTGCCTGAATACAGCCTTTTTAACATCCACTGACAGTGGGCAGAGCAAGTCAGGGCTGCACGTATATCCTGGAGCCTCTGTTTAAAACTCACTTGTGTCTGCACTGTTACAGGCAGTAATGCAGTTTAGACCTCAGAGAAGCCTGCCTTTATGAAAGAAATTGCAGACCATCCACATCTGAGGAGGAAGGAAAGGAAGCGCCTCCCGAGGCGGGCGGGGTGTCCTGACGGCTGCAGATCCAGGGTGTGGCCGGTGGGGGCTCCGGCCGCCCTCCACCCCCAGCCTCAGGGGGCACTGCCCTGTGTGGGGCTGGCCGTGGGCAGACTTACCGAGTCTTCCAGCACTCAGCGCAGCCTGCTCAGGCGGCGCCTTCTGGTGGGTTTTCCCACTACACAGACACTCCAGGGAGCTCCAGTCCAGTGGATTCTAGACACTTCGTATTTTTTACCATCTTTCCAATCCTCTCTTACGCTTTTTCCCTTCGGTAACCACCAGATTGCACGCACTCCTCTCAGTCAGCTTTCCAGTCAAACCACTCCTTAACCTGATTCAGCTCCGGATGCAGCGCGTGCGCCCCTTCCCTGTTAAAGCAGCCTCGGGCTCTCACTCCCGAGTCTCTGTTCTGGGACCATCCCTTAAGATGGACCTCACACTCTCCCCTGATGGAGGTCGCAGGGAAAAGAAAACGGTTGCCCAGTGAGGTGTTCGTGAAATGCCAGGGCGGGCAGCAGGTTTTCTAATGATGCACCGCTAATCGTCAGCGTTTCCTGCAGGCTCCATCTGATGCCAGAAGGCAAGCACAACCTGCATTTACACTTGGCAGACGAATTCAACAAGTTAGTGGAAGACTTCCTCCAGTGACCATGTCCCAGGATGCGTGGTCTGGTGAGGTCTGGGCCTGCGGGTCAGCCCTCAGCTCACCGGCCTACCAGGCTCCCTGTGCTTCCCCCGACGGCTCCTGATCCGGTACCACTGAGGACATAGCATCCTCTTTCATAGCTACAGAGCTTGAATCTGACCTTTTCATACTGTGATTTTCTTCCATTGCCTTAAATAAATGCCTGTCATGATTTACTTTACTTTCAGGTGAGGTTAAACATGTGTAGTGTTCACGACTGCTGCTCTCAGATGAGCTGAATGTACGCAGCGCCCTTTGTCAGAGGGGTGCAGGCGTGTCCTGGCCTCTGGAGTCACCACGTCGTCCAGAGATGGGGAAGCTGAAAATGGCCCCTGCCCAGGGCCCTGGATTCCACGTGTTCACGGGGTTGCTGGGATCAGAGCCAACTGGGGAAGGTCAGCGTGGTGCCCTCCTCCTCTCTACCTTCACACTCCTGGGTGCTCGTCCCTGAATACTTTGGGCCAGGGGAGATAAATTTGCTTGCTTGCCTCTCTTTCCCTGGTGTCTCAGATGGTAAAGAATTCACCTGCAGGGCAGGAGAGACCCAAGTTAAATCTCTGGTTTGGGAAGATCCCCTGGAGAAGTGAATGGCAACATACTCCAGTATTCTTGCCTGGCAAATCCCAAGAACAGAGGAGCCTGGGGGGCTACAGTCCGTGGGGTCGCAGAGTTAGACATGACTGAGTGACTTAACACTTTAAACACTTGCCTATCTTTACTAAAAGAGCAGAAAGGCTATTAAGTAAAAATATGAAAATAAAAATCCTATTAAAAGTTACTAAACCCAGAAACATACTTAGAAAGGAAGCATTTAGTGAAAGAATAAAAATTATTTGCAATAAAGAGAGACCACAGGTTTTGGACACATGCTTTTTTATTAGTATAGATATCTTAGACAATACTGCAATTTCCAGAGGAGTTCCACATTGTTACATCAACAGTGAATTTCTGACAGAGGCAAAACTGAGCACCATAGCCTACGAATAGAGAGACCATGCCTGATCGAGGACAACAGGAGTCGCTAAGGACGCACGGTCCATCTGACACGTTCTCAGGCCTCGTCCTCGGCCTCCGCCCGGCCCCCCCGCCCCTCGGCCCCCGCCCGGCCTGCCCGCCCGGCCTCCGGGCGCCCGCGGCCGCTCAGGCCTCGTCCTCGCCCTCCTCCTCCTCGAACTCGCCCTGCTCGTCGGCCGTGGCGTCCTGGTATTGCTGGTACTCGGACACCAGGTCGTTCATGTTGCTCTCGGCCTCGGTGAACTCCATCTCGTCCATGCCCTCGCCCGTGTACCAGTGCAGGAAGGCCTTGCGCCGGAACATGGCCGTGAACTGCTCCGAGATGCGCTTGAACAGCTCCTGGATGGCCGTGCTGTTGCCGATGAAGGTGGCCGACATCTTCAGGCCGCGCGGCGGGATGTCGCACACGGCCGTCTTCACGTTGTTGGGGATCCACTCCACGAAGTAGCTGCTGTTCTTGTTCTGCACGTTGAGCATCTGCTCGTCCACCTCCTTCATGGACATGCGGCCCCGGAAGATGGCGGCCACGGTCAGGTAGCGGCCGTGGCGCGGGTCGCAGGCGGCCATCATGTTCTTGGAGTCGAACATCTGCTGGGTCAGCTCGGGCACCGTCAGCGCCCGGTACTGCTGGCTGCCCCGGCTGGTGAGCGGGGCGAAGCCGGGCATGAAGAAGTGCAGGCGCGGGAAGGGCACCATGTTCACGGCCAGCTTGCGCAGGTCGGCGTTGAGCTGGCCCGGGAAGCGCAGGCAGGTGGTGACCCCGCTCATGGTGGCCGACACCAGGTGGTTGAGGTCCCCGTAGGTGGGGGTGGTCAGTTTCAGGGTGCGGAAGCAGATGTCATACAGCGCCTCGTTGTCGATCGAGTAGGTCTCGTCCGTGTTCTCCACCAGCTGGTGCACGGACAGGGTGGCGTTGTAGGGCTCGACCACCGTGTCCGACACCTTGGGCGAGGGCATGACACTGAAGGTGTTCATGATGCGGTCGGGGTACTCCTCGCGGATCTTACTAATGAGGAGGGTCCCCATCCCAGACCCGGTGCCGCCCCCCAGAGAGTGGGTCAGCTGGAAGCCCTGCAGACAGTCACAGCTCTCGGACTCCTTCCTGACCACGTCCAGGACGGAGTCCACCAGCTCGGCGCCTTCTGTGTAGTGGCCCTTGGCCCAGTTGTTCCCAGCGCCGCTCTGGCCTGCCAGAGGGGGAGGACAGCATCAGACGCTAACACTTCAGTAAGGAATTTCAGATTCTGTCTTCCTGACTCTGGATTAGTTTTAGGGATGAAAGACCCTTCTTTTTCAGAAAGACTTTCTTCCTACAGAAAAGTTTTCTATATATCAGTGATCCTCAGAAACACTGAAGATCTAATACAACAAAACATTTAGTTCATATGATGTTTTTAATTGAGAAAATAGTTTAACAAAACCCAACTGGTTTAAAACTAAGAACCTTCTGTAAATTCTCATTGACAAATCAATTGCTGTGAGCTGGCAGGGCGGAGGCGCCCGTGGTCAGAGGGCCGGCTCAGCTTCTGCTCACAACCTGCGCCTTTGGCCTCGGCTCCTTGAAGGGCTTGCCTGTGTCACGGGTCCTCTGAAATGACCGGTGGCCTGTGAGCTGCTGCTGGAAGCTTCCCTTCGCTCTTTGTTCTGCTCTGTAGGGGGAGGGCTGCGGCAGCCTCTGCAGGCTGACCCTGGCCTTTGAGCTGCGTGGACAGGGGCCAGACGGCTGACAGCCCATGGACTAGGGACAGTGAGGCCGGGACTCGGGGCCTCTGTGGACACACAGCCTCCCCCAGGCACTCAGCAGAGATCCCCACGGGGTCAGGAGGAAGGGGACCCATTGAGCCAGGGCCCACGCAGCACCCCTACATACCAAACACGAAGTTGTCAGGCCTGAAGATCTGGCCGAAGGGTCCAGACCTGACAGAGTCCATGGTGCCCGGCTCCAGGTCCACGAGGATGGCCCGAGGCACATACTTGTTACCTGCGGGGACAGAGCAGGACTCAGACCTGCAGGCAGAGCAATCAGACAACGCCCTGCTCTCTGCGCCTCTCTGGGCAGAGCTCATCCCAGAAAATTCAAGCAAGAGGCAAAGAGGAGATCAGAGGAGGTTTCTGCTCTACAAAGGGAGGTGAGGGCCCGCCTGGTTATGACCCGCATGCAGGGGACTTCAGGGGCTCTGAGGGTATTTCTCAGCAGCTGACATTTAAATGCATGCAGGAAGCCTGCCTTTGTCGTGTGTGTGTGTTCCTGCTACACTGGGGCTGCCAGAGAGCGGAACACAAGGAGAGGGGGCTGAGCTCGCGGGGTCCTCACCAGCAGCCTCGTTGTAGTACACATTGATTCTCTCCAGCTGCAAGTCACTGTCGCCATGGTAACTGCCAGTGGGGTCGATGCCGTGCTCATCGCTGATGACTTCCCAAAACTGGAGATAGAGAAAGAAGCGCGTGATGGTCTGGCATCCTAGGTGTCAGTACGATGGCCCTTCCCTTCCTCTCCTGTCCTTGGAACAGCAGCACTGTGGTCAGACAGGCAGGGAGCCGCAGACAGGCCCTCAGCCGCCGCCCTGCTCCTCCAGCAGCTTCTGCGGAGGGGCTCAAGGATGCGCAGAGCATCAGCTTTGTCAGGGAGACGGACTGGGAAGCGGGGAGGGGCCCTGGAGGAGGAGGGGGGCACAGCTGCGGATGCTTCGGAGGCTGGGCCCCCAGGCAGGGCTGAGCGTCAGCATCCCAGCGGACAGACGGGTCCTGGCAGGACCCAGGACAGGTGGACCCCGCCCTGCGGCTGCCTGCAGGGATCGCCCTGTCCTGGCGCAAACCCGACCCGGCCCTCCAAGCAGCGCTGCGTTAGGCGCGGGCATCCGCCGGGCTCCTGGGTCACTGACTGCAGAGGCGGAATGGGGGGGGTGAGGGGCAGGGTGCAGCGTGCGTCTGCATCAGGAAAGGCGGGGGGCGGGTGGGCAATATGGCGGTTGTGAAAGAGACCACGTCCTTGTGCGGGCGCCCGCCCACACCCGGGCACCCGGCCCACGGAGCCTCGCCCACTGCGGCTGCTCGGCCCGGGGCGGCCACCTGCCGCCGCGCCCACGGCAGTCAGACTCCGGCGTCACCCGCCACCCCGTCTGGATGGTGCACCCCGTCTATCGGATCCCGAGAACCCTCTAGAGCATCTGTCACCCAATGACACTGCAGTTTTTTCATTCGCACTGCAGACAATACATGTAAAATAAATTCCGCAGGAGGCCGCGGGATTTTCACGACCAAAGCCCCTAGTCAAATCTCAGAGGCTAATCTACCGGGGAGGTTCCAACCCTCACAAGGGCCGGGTCCGGAGCCGCAATTAAACTCCCACAGCTGAGTAGCCCCGAGCATCAAGGCCGGCTGTGAGGCGCCGGGCCCCGCCCCGCGCCCGCGCTCCTCCCGGGGGTCCGCTCGCTCCCCGGCCCCGCTGCGGCCCCGGCGGGCACCCTGGGGCCCCGCCGCCCCCTCTATGTCCCTCCGGGGTCCCCACCCTCGGGCCCTGCCGACCCTCCCCGACCCCTCCTGGTCCCACACCCTGGGGACCCGCCGCCCCCTCTCCGTTCCTCCGGGGTTCCCACCCGCGGCCCCCTCCCCGGCCCCCCGGGACCCCCGCCCTCGGGCCCCGCCGCCCCCTCCCCGCCCCCCTTGGTCCCACACCCTGGGGACCCGCGGCCCCCTCCCCGCCCCCTCCTTGGTCTTCTCCCTGGGGACCCACCGCCCCCTCTTCGTCCCTCCGGGACCCCCGCCGTCTGGCCCCGCCGCCCCCTCCCCGGGGGTCAGCTCCCTCCCCGGTCCCTCTCCGACCCCAGGCACGCCCTGGGGCCCCGCCGCCCCCTCTCTGTCCCTCCGGGGACCCCCGCCTTCGGGCCGCGCCGCGCCCACCTTGGCGCCGATCTGGTTGCCGCACTGGCCCGCCTGGATGTGCACGATC